AAAAAGAAAAGAAAAAAAAAAGTTGAATAGGTATCTTCTCCAAAGAGGATACACAAAGAGCCAGCTGGAAAAATATCCAACATTACTAATATCAAGGAAATGCAAATAAAAAATGCAAGGAGGTATAACTTCATACATGTTAGGTTGCCCATTTTTTAAAAAATAGAAATAACAAGTGTTAGAGAGAATGTGGAGAAAGCACATTCCCTTGTGCAGTGTTGATGGGATGTAAAATCATGTAGCCACAATGAAAAACTGTCAGGAGTTTCTCAAAATATTGAAAATAGTATTACCACATAACCCAGCAATTCCACTTCTGGGTATTCATCCAAAAGCATTCAATTCAGGATCTCAGTTAGATATCTTACATTTCCATACTCACCATAGCATTATTCACAATATCCAACAGAGCTGGGCATGTAGCACACACCTATAATCCCAGAGCTCAGGAGGCTGACACAGGAGGACAGCCTCCAGTTCAAGGCCAACCTGAGCTACAGAGACCCTGTCTCAAAATCCCCCCAAAAAATGCAGATAAAAACAACCAACTCAAGCACCAACAGAAAAATAAAGAAATGTGATGTAGACAGATAGATAGATAGATAGGAAGGCAGACAGATAGATAGGGCATAGTTGTTATGGTCGAGATAAAAATGTGTCCCAAAAGCCTCATGCATCTGGAAGGTGACTGGATGGTGGCAGTGCCATTTGCATCTGTGAACCCCGGCTTTAAAGAGCCCAGCAGCTGAGTCTGCTATGAGGAGGGCGTGGTTGGAGGTGGTCGCTGGGAGGGGTGAGCAGGAAAAGTGCACTCTCGTCCTGGCTCCTCCTCCTCTCTCTCCTCCTGGCCGCCATGGGTTGAGCAGCTTTTCCTCCGCCAGGCCCCTCTGCCATCCTGTGTCTGCCTTGAAGCCAGCAGACTGTGGATGAAAACCGTGAGCCAAAACAAGCCTCTCCTCCTTTAGATTGTGCGTGTTGGAGATTTTCTCCAGTGACAGCAAAGTGACTAAGACAATGGCGTATTATTCAGGCTTTAAAAAGAAAATGATTCTTCTTTCATTTGCTACAACATGGATGAACTTTGAGGGCATTGTGCAAAGGAAAATATGTCAGTCATGCAAGACAAAAACTACATGAATCCACTCACACAAAGTCTGTAAAATAGTCAAAGTCACAGAAGCAAAAAGTACAGTGGTGATTTCAAGGCTGCTCAGTGGTACAGCGTTACAGCCATGCAAGGCAAAAATGTTCCAGAGATTTGCTTACACAACAATGTGCAACAGCTACCAGCACTGTGCTACACACATGGGATTTACTGAGAGTAGACCCCCTGTTACACAGTCTACTGCAGTTCTTAAAACGGGAGAAAAGGAGAAGATTGTTCACAAAATAGATATAAAATGGCACTTAAACATATGAAAAGAGGTTTAACCTCACTCACTATTAGAAAACTGAATATCAAGTACACTGAGATACCATTCCCTACCTGAAAAGTAAGAAACTGGCATAGAATAAAAACTATAAAATACACCATCTGCTGGCAAAGCCATGAGGAAACAGACTTTTGTAGGTTGCTAATGGAAAATAAGACTGAGGGGATTCCAGTTTGGCACAGCTGAGCCTTGCCTTTCAGAAGAGAGTCTAGCAGCATCTAACAGACGTGCACACACATCTGCCTTTGAACCCCAAATCGCCCCTCTCAGAATTGACCTCGAAGACACACCTGCGGCGTAGGGAAGGAAGTTCATGTACTCATGGTCACTTCTGAAGCATGGTTTGTAATTGCAAAATATTGGAAACAACTTAAATCTACATGCATGGAAAAGGTAAATAACCATGGCATAAAATAAAGTACTAAGAAGCGCTCTTTGAATTCACCTGGAATGATTCACAGAATGTGATTTGGAGACGGGAAAGGCAGAGCTAGTTTTAATAGAAAGAACTGCAGGAGGGGTGAACCAGACACGCCTGGGATTAGTAATCTCTGGGTTCTGAGTGGGATGGATGAGAAGATGGAGGGAAGAGAACGAGAGGGAGATACTTCTGAGGTGCCTGGAAAGTTCAGACATTTAAACCATCCCCATGCTTTATGTGCTAAAAACAGACAAAGAAGGGGATAAGAAAGCCCCAAATGGAGTACAAACAAAACAAAGTAAGCCAAGGGTAATAACACAACTGCACTGGCAGAGTGGGGTGGGGTGGGGACTAACCTAAGTAACTCTGGAAAATAAAAGTTTACTCCAAGTTTAAAGACAGAATTGTACACAGATAGGGGACTCCAGTTTGTAGATTTGTTTTTCATTAAAGGGTGAGCAATTCTGAAACTAATTTATGTGTGCCCTAGAATAAGTGAACTTATAGTGAACGGTGGCAGCCAAGCTTCCCGCTGAGAAAGGAAGCAATGAAAATAGATCAAAAGAACACAGGAGCCAAACTGAATGGACTCCCAGGAGCCAGGTCTGGGGCAACTGGTGCAAGAAAATAATTAATGCTGGTAATTGACTATACCACACAGATAAAACAAGAATCCATGTGTCCATACCAATACAGTAATTAATTGAACAAATAAACTAATTATAGAGAAGGAAAATTTCTTTCTTTCAATACAGTTCCAACCAAGCAATGTGGAGGAATGCTGGAAATTGAAAATTTCTATTTGGCAAACACCAAGGTAAAAAAAATAAATTTCAGCCAAGAATCATCAGTGGATGCCAAACTTGGTAGGTAAAGGTATATTTTTGTAGTTTTAGACTATGTCTCACATGACAATTATTACATGCAAAGAGGAACATCATGACTTTACAGTGCAGGAGCCCAGGGAGCCCTGCCAACCCCAGTGATCGCACATAGCAGCACCAACAGCGGGCAAGCCGACAGGCGAGTGTGTCTCAGAGGGCAGAGCGTGTCTTCCGTGGGTTCTTGAAAAAATGCATAGCTTGGATTTAAGCCAAGTCGAAGGACATTCTCAAAACTGCTGGCTAGTATTCTTCAAAAGCATCTGCATCATAAAAAGAACAGGCTATGCTGGGGATTTAGCTCGGTGGTTCCAGCGCCTGCCTCACAAGCGCAAGGTCCCAAGTTCGATCCCCGGTACCAAAAAAAAAAGAACAGGCTAAGATACTGTTCCAAATTAAAGAGATCCTGTGATTCTGGACTGACTCCTGGACCCGAAAACAAAGAGCATTAGTAGAAGAGTTGGCAAACCGTAAATAAGATAGTACAGTGGACCCTTGACTTACAAACTCAATCTGTTCCCAAGACCTGGTAGTAACTAAGTCAGTACAGCTGAGATCTGGATATTTACCTGGGCACAAGCTATAGATGGCAAGAGGCAGATGAACCTTCCACTGACCTACTTAACCCAAGCCATTTGTATGTCAGGCCGGTCATAACTTGAGAGCCCACTGTATTCTTACCCATATTAATTTCCAGTTTTGATCATTATACTGTGATTATATAAGATAACAGTCGGGTAAAGGCATGTAAGAAATCCTTGTAGCATTTATACAATTTTATAAGTCTGAGAGTATTCAAACTTTAAATATTTTTAAGTTAAAACTTTTTGTAAATATCTGACATCTGGTTTTATCACCCCTACAGGCCTTCACTCACTCTGGGGTATAGCAGCCTTAAAGGGGTGCTGACAGGTGGACGCTGAAAAGGGATTTATGTGAAGACAGAAGCTTCTGTGTTGTGCAGACCCCGAGAGGGCCAAGCAGGAGCCAGACCTGGTAGCAGGACTCGCTGGAAGCCACTCCAAGGGATAGGACTGTGTTCTGGGAGTGAATGGAAAGCACTGGACCAGTAAGTGGCAACCTACTGAGAAACCTATAGTCAGGGGTGGCCCGGCAGCAAGACTGAGTCCTGCTCTCTGTGAAAGCAGAAGAGTTGCTTGTTTGGTCTCAGTGGTGGGACAGAGGCATAGGATGCTGGGGACCAGACACGAGACCCACAGAAGGAAGTATCGGTAGTGATGCTGTCTAGAGAACTTCCGCCAGAGAGTGGGGAAGACGACGAAAGAGAAAGAGGCTAGGAGAGGTTGAATGCCAGAGGTTTTGTGGGAGAGAAGCAGCAGCCAGCCAAGGTACAGAGACTACTTCCTGAAGCCCGGAGGAACATAGTGAGGGAATTTGGGGGAATTTCAAAGACAGCTGGCAAGAGAAAGCGGCTGCTGTCAGCACGTGCCAGGCCAGAGCGCACACCACTTACACAGCCTCGGAGCCTCCTGCCCCATGTGGGTCTGGGTCTCTCTCCCTGCACTGAGCCATCAGGGAAGCTGGTACTCCCCTTTCCTGGCAGCAAGCAGCCCTACCTGGGCCTGGGGAGGTGTTTTAACTCTAATCAGGTTCAAACTTGATTATTACACGGTAGTGAGCGTTTAGTTAGTAATCAACTTTGTATGCTAACTTAAAGTGACCACTGCTTCCTTCTGAATAAACAGAAACAGCATCCAGGCCAGCAGAGAAACCTGTCCCCCTAAATAAACTCCAGAGAGAGTGAGATATAAAGTGAAGTCTTGATGACATCCCACAATTATAGCTACTCCACTGACATAACGGTTATGAGACCCCCACCGCTGAGTAAGGCTCCTCGCAAGCAGCCACTCCTCCCAACGTGCGGTGGGGGCTCCCACCACCCTGGATAACTTGACTACATCCTCCTCTTACACCTGGCACCCTGATCGCACCTGTCACACCCACCCCATACCGCTGTAGGTGCAGCTGGAGCGCTTGCTGGAGGCTTCTCTTGCACTGCTCCACACCCACTGGTAAAGCTCAAACACACAGATTCCAGGGTTGACTGACCTCAGAAAAGCAACCCTTCCTGCTGGCCATGCATCATCTGGGGAAGGGCGTCCCAAAGACAGAGGAAGAGAGCAGTGACCCGAGACCCTCAGAGAACATGGGAGCGTGGCTGCCGGCTTCCGAGCTAGCTCTTCACAAGCCCGGATAATCACTGCTCCTCTAACCCGGGCCAGGCAGGGGTAGCAGAGGACTCACAGGGACAGGTCCAGCGGCAGCCGCAAGTCTCTTCCACCCGAATAGGGGCCTGGCTGTTGGGGCACAAAGGCCTGGGCACCTGCTCACAGTTGACCCGGTGACTCTGCAGCATGGTCTGGCCATCCGGCAGGCAGGTCACTGTGTGGCACTGATCTGGCAAAGTCCAGGCGTCCCCAGGCTGCAGAGGAAAACACAGGTTCTGGCAGGGAGAAGGATGAGGCGTCCCAGGGCTAAGCTCATCATCCCCCAACCAACCGCCTCCACAGACACAGGGAGCAGGACTGGACACCAGGGGCAGTACACAAGGCTGGAGCAGAACAGGAAATGCACAGGTGGACTTCCCAAAGAGGATGACAGTAAGGAGGAGAACGGGACAAAGATGAAAGCGTTCCAAGACCAAAGGAGGCAAAAGCGTCCCCAAAGAAGGGCCAAGGCCCTCAAACACACATTTCTCATCTGTCTGTCAAAGTCATCAGAGGAACTTACCCTCTTCTCATTCCCGTCCTCATCCACGCAAACTCTAGCAAACCCTGCAAGAGACACAAATGAGACCTGAATTCCCTGCTATCACTCAGACACTGTAGGCCATGCATAATGTCTGCTGGGCTGCCCGGTCTCATCCTTGAAGTCGCCTCAACCCTGAAAGGACCCCAGTGAGTTCCACAGTGGACACAAGGGGGCCTACGACGAAGAGGCCAACACTACTATTCCTCAGACGCCATCTGTGGTGACAGTAACTAGTCATTCTGACGCTAGCAACACCAGTGCTCTCATGGCGATGCATTTTTACAGCTGCACAGTTATTATGTCCTTTTCTACATAGACCACTTTCAAGAAGGAGGATGTATGAAGCAAGATCCTGAAAACCGGAAACAGATCCAGCAAAAAGATTACACCAGGACAGTGACCACTACGAAAGAGATGTAATAACTCTGAAGGATGCTTTGACAAAAATACAAGGGGTGATTGAAAAATATGGTAAAGGATTAAATTTACATTGCCATTCGTCCTGCTCAAAGACTCCGCCTTGCTCAGAGCACACCCTCCATTGCTCTTGCCACTCTCCGAAGCATCTCAAAGTGCTTTTTCATGTCTTTAGTTGCGCTGTCCTGGCTGCCTCGGGGCCTGAATCCATGCAAAATGTCTACCTCTCGTGGTCATTTTGACTGTGGGGAAGAGCCACTTGTTGAATGGAGCCATATTTGGTGAATAAGGTGGATAAGGACGCACCGTAATGTGCTCACACGCCTGCTTTCTGTTGGATGGCACACGGGAGCAGTGTTCACCTTGCTTTTCATTGCACCTCATAAAGACACACAAAAGACGACCTCCAGAACTGCTTCAGAACTCGGCAAAATGACAGGATAAGTGTGTTTGATGTGGACAGGAGGAGTTTTGAGGGAGGACTAATAGCAATGTGTCTTTTGCTGTAATAATTTTTTTAATTTAAATATTTGCCATATTTTTGATCACCCCTTATGTATAAAAACAGGCCCAAAGATCATGTATTTTTTAAGTTTCTAATCTAAACTCAAATTAACCTGTGGTCCTGTGATGTTAGAGTCTCTTGTCATAATCCTGAAGCCCTTTCTGGTCTTCTCCAGTGAGTATGGGACCGTGTCCTGTGGAGCTGGGCTTGCCGCTGTGTCTTCTGACTCTTTTGTGTAAGTCCTTTCTGCTGAAGCAGACAGTTCAAGTGGAAGAAGGACTGTGACCAAAGACCTCCTGGTAGAACTGGAGGTCTGCAGTATATGCCTTCCACAGGCAGAAACCTAAAGGTCCTGGTCTATATAATAATGTTCACTTAAGGTTCAGTGTTATACATGAGCAACCAGGAATTTCTAGCATGGAATTTTGTTTTGTTTTATGATTTTAGGTTTTGCTTTGGCTTAATGGATTTTTGAGGGAGTAAAAGGATATTATAAGATTTACCAGAGCACAGTTTGTGGAAGAAGGAATTGCCCACGCTGACCATGGTGGGGAGGTCTTCCACTCGAGGGAGCTGCACCACACTGGAGCTGGCGTCTGGGCCCGCCAAGATCCTCAGCTGCCTCTGGTCATACTGGTCCCCAATTCCAATGGGGAACACTGTCACTCCTGGAGTTAGCAAAGGAATAGGACACAGTCTGCTCAAGTGGGTTTGCAATGGGCTGGCCTGACACTGTGTCCAAGACCTGTATGGAACTTCATGTGTTCCCGCCTGCACACACAGACCAACCCTATGACGCAGACAGTCACTCAGCCAACAAATGTTAAGGAGCTCCTACTATTGCAAGCAATGGGGATAGAGCAGTGAACCAAGCAGAGAAAGTCCCTGTGCCCTGTTCTCACACAGCTTACACTGGGGACAGAAAGATAACAAACACAAAAAAAAGTTAGTAAGAGTATTTCAGATGTGGGTCAGTGTTTGGGGAAAACAAAGGGGGATAAGGAGAAATGGACTTCCCGGCGGGGCAGGGGGTTACTGTTCCATAAACGGTGGTTGGGGCAGTGTACAGTGAAAAGACAGCATTTGGACACAGACATGAAATAAGGACAAAAGAAGCCAAGAGGCCATCTGAGGGACCATCATCCCAGGCAGAGGACAGTGACTGTGAAGACCAGGACAGGGGCAGAAGCGTATGCACCAAGCGGCTGGAGCTGGGCAAGCCAGGCACAGCCAGGGAGGAGGGCATGGATTGTGCACAGCCTTGTAGGCCATGGCAGGGACCTACTGCACCCTCTGAAGGCAACAGAAAGCCAGCCAAGCCTGGCACAGAGCAGTGACAGGGCTTCTTCGATGGTAAAGGGTCACTCTGGCTGCTGTGTTGACAATGAACAATGAACAATGACAATGAACAGCAAGGGGCAGGAGTGGAAGCCAAGGTTCCCTTTAGACAGCTGCCTCCATCATCCAGGGGCAGGTGGTAGAGGGTGGGATAGGGTGACAGTGGTGGTGGGGTACAGGGTGAGGTTGTCACTGGCTAGCGTGGGTCCTTGCATCAGTGGTGATAGAAATTAAAAACTGAAGCAACAGCATGAATTGATAGCTCAAAGTTTAATTGGAATTTTTATTATGAAAACAATCAAAGCTGGCTATGCCATAGGCACCCCCTAGAAAGAAAAGCAGGCTGCTCCACAGAGGCCCCCTAACAAAAGACAAATTTCACTTTATAGGGCCTCAAAGGCATATCATTAAGTATTTGTGAATTTTTCTGAAAAAGGCAGGGATCCTTGGGCAGCTTGAAGTTCAGTTACTGCACAGCCCTTTGCACATAACTCAAAGTGGGCTTTGAAATGAGCTGTGTCCCTTCTCTGGGTGGACGTTTTGCTCTGGAAATGCATTGCAGTGAAGGTGAGGGTCAGTTCTCAGTCAGATCTGTCGCCACCTTTGCTCGGACCCTTCTCACCCTGTTCCTACCCACTGCCCCTTCTTATCTTGAGGACTGGAGCAGCTTGCTCATTTTATCAACAGCCTGATTTACTCCCCCTCCCAGCACCAGAAGATGCTGCTGCCTTCTTGTTTCCCCTCAGCGGGTACTTCAAACTCACGCCAATCCCCTCCTATCTCACAAGGATGCCACTCTAAAAAGGGAAGGTGTGGAGGTTCCATCACCCGGGACACAGAGTACAGACACATATTTCTTAGGGTTTGATTTCCAAACCATACAAAGTTTGGACAACTACCGGGTGCTTGAAACCAGGTCATGTGTGAACATATTTAAAATCAGCCTGAACCCCACCGCTTCCCCCTCTAGTACTCGAGAGGATTCAGGATTGGCACTGGACACTTACGGTTGGATCTGGCGGCCTGAGCTGCCACATCCACTGAGTCCACAGAGACATCCATGACCAGGATGAGCACCGCCTTAGAGGCCACAGGCCTGGCCCCATGGACTTGGGAGGTGACATATCGCACAGCAAAGGCCAAAGCCTCCCCTAAGGAAGGAGAACAGACCACGTTGGTACTGACTGCAGGAACAGGTGTTTCTGCAGCAGCTGATCAGTCCATCCCTTGGCGGATCCTCAGGTCGTTCAAAAGCTGAATGGTTCAGAGACTCAGAGGAACACAGTAGGATCCAGAGGAGACCAGGAAGAGCAGCCAGCACCCCACTTCACAGGAGAAGAAACTCAGGCAAAGGAGCAATGTGACCAGCGAGGACGCTCAGTCACTTTTGCCAAGAATCAGATCTGAACGCAAGTCGCACACCCAGCCTGGGGCATCCCTGTTACCCATCCGGCTGGGGCCTCCCTCCTGCCGCATGAGCTCCACGAGATCCAGTAAATGCTCCTTTTGCTGGGCCACGTTCCACGGCACATCGATGGTGGTGATGCTCCCATACTGGAGCACGGACACCTGCATGAGATGAGGTCCTAACAGGAAAGAGAAAAGAGAACTCATTCGGCGCCGAGTGGATCCCAAGAGGAGCCCCTTCCTTCACTGGCTGCTCCAGGTGCCTGCTCACCGATGCTGGCCTTTGAAATGAAAGCCTTGGCAAAACTCTTCATTTCCTCAAAGTAAGAGGCTGGAATGCCAGAGGAGCCATCCAGGAGGAGGACCACATCCAAGGGTTGGCTGCAGTCTGTGAAGAGGACCAGGGTGGTGAGCACACAAGTGCCGCAGGTGGCTGGCCACCACCCAGGCAGCTAGACATCAGATTCAGCAGGTTCTGGGGGTCCCCCAATGACACGGCACCATAGTTACCAAGACAGGGCCAGGGAGGAGGGGGGGATGGATGTTTCTGGGTGGCTAAGCACCCCAGGGTTGCAGGCATTGGAAAGCTCCACCCAAAAGTTTAAGTGCTTACAAATAAAAGCAGGAGATATCTACTCCCTCAGTAAGAGAACTGCTACCCTTCCGGAAGTGGGTGAAATACTGGAGCAGCAAAATAAGAAGATGTCAGAAAGAAATGGAACAGCAGCAGCACCTCCCTGGGAGAGAGCTTGTTCACGCTCAGGCTTACAGGGTGGGGAAGGTACCATGAGCAACTCGTGATAAATGTTCAGTGCCATGTTAATGTCTGGTCACAGCCATGATCACAGAGAGGAAACAAGCTCTGCCCTGAACACATTTTGAGATTGGGCGGGTGATGCTATTACTATACTACAGGAGATTAAATAAAATCTGTGGCTCTCATTCAAAACTAAAAAAAAAAAGACACTAAAAAGGAAGCAAGTTATTCTGGGATGGTCCTGAGCATACCACACAAGAGTGTTCGAGGACTAGGAGTTTACTAGATGCCAGATTGGTGAAGAAGGCAATGAGAATGGCAGGAAAAGTAGCAAACCATTTGTGAGCGTGTGCCATATGGTGGAGTTACCTTGCTCAATACTATTATGACCCGAATCCTACAGAAGAGGAGACTGACGTACAGAGGTTAAGGACTTGCCCCAAATTATCCAGTCAGCAAGTGGCAGGCTAAAGCAGGCTGCCTCCGGACCTAGTTCGCCTGACTTCCTGTCCTCCTGGGTGTGCTGGGGTGTATCTTGGAGGCATGGCCTTGTGTGCTACACATATCCTTCACCCCTCCCTCTCTGGAACTCTTCCCCTGCTCTGCTTCCTGGCCAACACTAAGCAACTTTGCTCTGCAATACCCTTCCACCATGAGGTTTCTGGGCCTACTGACCATGGACTGAGTCTCCCGAAACTGAACCAAATGAAGCCTTTCCCCCTTTATGTTTCGGATCCTGGGTGCTGCGTAGCAGGAACAGGGAAGCTCACTAACACATGCAAGGATGGGGATGGGTGGTAAAGTAAGCATAGTGCCTTTCACTCCTTGGTATTGTTTAGATTTTGACAATAGGGTTGTATTACCTTTGAACTTACAAGCATACATAAAAGATCCTCCCCCCAGAAAAGGGTCACAACGTAGCCCCCTGCCTGGGAGGTAAGGAAACACAGGCACTCTGAGGCAGAGCAACAGAACTGGGATTAGAACCCAAGTCACATGGTGGCGGGATGCAGGCAGCACCGGGGCTGCCCCCGCCCTCCCTCTGCGCCTGGGGCCATCGTACCTAGAGCAGGGTGGAGGGTGGGGAGTGGCACTGTGTCTCCAGAGCAGCACCTCTGCAGCACCAGGTCAGGAGCCTCTCGGGGCAGCGTCTCAAAGTCCTGGATAAAGATGGGGGTGCTGGGCCAACTGATCTCTTGCAGCTCCTGCACATTGGCACCGGGGCCCACTCCGATGGGCACCACCTGGATGTCCCCGGGCAACCGCTTGATCTCATCGGAGGCAGGGTTTCCTGTGACCATGTAAACCAGGTTGGGTGCCTGCTCCCGGTCGCCTTGGCTGGCAGAGAAGCTGTGCTCAGACACGTACTGCAGGGCCAGCCCAGTGTTGGTCTTGTTGCCACCCCGGAACTGGATCTCTTGCACATGCTGCAGCACGTTGCCCTTGGACTGGGCTTTGCGGAAGGTGTACTCCACGGTCACCGTGTACGAGTACTGCAGGACCGTGATGTGGATGCTGTCCTGGCCCACATCCATGCGCTGGATCACCTCCGCCATGAACTCCTTGCTCTGGTTGAAGTTGGCCTCTCCAATTTTGTCTGAGCCCTCCAGGACAAATACCACATCCAGAACCATGGGCTTTCTCTTGGGTCCTGGGGACAAAACCTCCAAGAGCCCTGGACCCACAGTGACCTGCGCTACCTGGGTGCGCTGAGTCGGGCCAGGGGCCTCAGGCGCGTGGTCACAGAGGTAGTTGATAATCTCATCCCTCCACTGCTCCAGCTCGTCCACACTGCTGAGCACAAAGGCCTTGTTCTCGGGGGCCTGCTTCTCAATGAGGCGGATCTGCTGGAGGCTGGCATGCGGCCCAATGCCCACGGGAATCACGATGACCTTTTTCTTCTTCAGGCCCTGGACATAGCGGACCAAATTCCGGGCCATTTGTCTGGGCTCTGAGCTGGCAGTCAGGAGCAACACAATGCGGGAGGCTTCCGGGCGATCGATTTTGCCAAAGATCTGGAAGAGCGTGTACTTCAAGACCTCACTGGTGGAGGCCACCTGGCTGCCTGCGTACTTCACCTGGCTGGCAATTCGCCGCAGCTCCGAGGGCCGCTTCCTCGCCCTGAGCTCAAGGTAAGCATGGGAGCCATCGTGGTACTCCACCACGGCCACGCGGATCCGCTTCTGGGAGATGTGCAGCCGCTCCATCGTGCTCACCACAAAGGCCTTCAGCGTCTCAAACTCGGCCTCCGACAGCCTGGAGGAGCCGTCCAGCAGAAAGACCAGATCCAGCAGCTTGCTGCAGTAGAAGTCATGCAGGGGCGGCTCTGGAGTATCTTCCACGTATGGGGTGGTAGTGCTCACTGAGGCCTCCGTAGGGGGCACCACCAGGCCTCCAGGCTCCTGGCAGGCTTCGCAGGTAAGGTTGGCACCATCACAGTGACTGGCAGAGGGAGAAGAAACCAAATGCTTAGGAAGAAGCTCTGAGCCCTTCTCTACCCACCATGGATACATTTCCGTGGAACAGCCAGACGGCCACACAGAGCATTCCCCACTGGAACAAGATATCATTAGTGTGCGTGCGTGCGCGCACGCACGCACGCACACACACACACACACAGAGGTTTCCCTCAATTCTGGAAGCCAAAGCTTTGACCCATCTTAAGACCTGAGAAAAGAATCTTTGCTGTTTAGGCCATACACACAACCATTCAACTCTGATTTCTTTCCAACCTACATCTCCAGCCTATAGTAATATTTCATCAAAACCCAAACTTTCTCCCAAGTATCTCCAAGGACAAATACTGCTCTAAATGCTGATGCTGGTCAGGACTTGGAAATGTTCTATTATTAAAGCCAAATGGTTGACAGAATTATCACAGAATTTGGTAGGTTGGGCCTCAAGGAAGAAAACAAAAACTAGAGTGAAAACACTTTAGAACGGTGAATAAAAATTCAAGGTCCTAGGTTTATTTATCAGAAGAAAGTATTTAGGAGGAGTCGGGGAGGTCTGTCAGATCTAGGGCCAGGAAGACAGCAGCTCAGCGTTTGCTCGTCCCACAGGCAGGTGGCGAGGCCCGCACACCCGTGTCAGAGCTACGACCCTATGCACCAACTGCTGCACTACCAGGAAGATCTGCAGCCTCTTCTGGTCACTCTGCCCTCTCTCCAGTGTCCTGAAGGTGGTGGGCAAGGCCAGGCCACAGGTGAATCAAGTTGCCCTGTGGCAGCAACCCATGCCTGCTGGGGTCTCCTCCTCTCTGGGCTCAGCCTCCCAGCAACTCACCTTCAACACTCCCAGCAAAGCTGTGGAGGCAGCAGCATCATGAGCACCAGGAAGTGTCCCTCTGTGGCCTGACCACTAGGCACCATCCCTGCCCGCTGCAGAACCAGTGTCTGCCCTGGCGCCCCAGCATGTACCGTGTAGCTGCCCATCCCCAGTGCTGACAGGGCTCTAGCTCAGCCCTCCACCAGCACTGACCTCACCCTCACTGGAGATGTTGTCCTCACATCTCGACTTCCGCATCGGGAGGGCGGGCGGGCAGGGTCCTACTGGGAACCTAATTCCTACTTCCTCATGCTCCCCACGATTTATTGGCTCAGTCCTTGGTTAACAGTGTGTGAGTGACATACTTTTTAGTTTCCTGCGTTTGCAAGAAAACTCCCCCAGGGCAGCTTTCACTGGTGTTTGTACAGGTGGAAGCGGCAGGCTCTGGTTCTGGCCACAGCTCCCACGAGTGAGCTGGACTTCTCAAGTTTAAGCCGTTCCAAGCCTTGGTCAGTGTCAAGCAGTGGCATTGAACTTATCAGCATTTTAACAACTGTTCCCTGCTTACAGGTAAGACTTCAAAAGCTCAGCACCTGCCCTGTGGCCCCTGCCCACCTCCCCAAGGCCAGTTTCCCTGGGGCAGCTCCAGTGAGAGCCCAGGGGACGGCAGTGGGAGTCTTTCCTCCCAGTTACAGAAGCTGTGCCCTGTGGCCTCAACTGTGGCCCCAAGATGTCCCTGTTATACCAGGGTCAGAGGTTCTTTCTCACTTTCCTCCCCTGACCACCGCCTCCTTCAAGAAACTGACTTTATGGATGCCCTTCCTCAGACTAGACATGGCCTCCAGAAATAAGGCGAGCCACAGGAAATGGGAATGCTTATTCCCCTGACCTGACTTGTATTACAATACTACAGGAGAGCCCACAAAACTATTACATGTTGGAGGGGGGACAGAAAACCTACCCTGTCTTCCACAAGAAAAGCTAAAAACTTCTTAGAGATAAAAGCCTTTTTTAAAATATTTCAATATTTTGAGAGGAAGCAGTCTAGTTTGCTCTCAGAGAAAGACAGGCAAACTAGAAACACACTGAGCAAAAACTGAACTGATTAATTAACAAACTAAGTGAACCCACTGTGTCCACTCACCCAACTTGGAGGTTTCATCCCGGGCCTCTGAGCAGGCCTGGGGAATGTGGTCACACTCCTGGCTTCGGACAGCCAGGGCCACTCACCAAGCCTGGCAGCGTGCAGGGTCCTCAGGGTTCAAGGTGATCTTCCTTCCCGGGGCCAGGCGCCGGCCAGCCACCTCACACACGGGGCAGTCATGGGGGTGGACACAGGTCTGTAGAAGCTCATCCAGGATTTTCCCTGCACAGCGCACTTCACATTAGGACAGAGCACCCAGCTGTCCCGCCAGGAAGGCTCCCTGTCACCCAAAGCCAGCTCTGCCACCTCCTGCGTGGTCGCCTCATTATCTTTCCTCCTTTGTGCCTTGATTTATCCCTCCGCCAAGCTGGGGAGGGGGTTCCTTCACCCTGTCTCACCTCCTCCAAGCTTTGAGACAAATCAGTCTTCCAAAGAGTGGATTCAACAACTTTCAAGTTTCGCTGTCCAATATGACAGCTGTTAACGAAATGTGGCTACTAAAGTTCAAATTAAGCAAGAATCACAATGAAAACTTCAGCTCTCTAGGTACACTAGCCACCCCTGCACTCATCAGAGCTTTTCCCCCACTGCAGAAAGTGCTGCTCTGTGTGATAAACCCATAAACAGGCACCCAAAAGCATGGCGTGGAGAGCGATACGGGCATAGCTTGGTGGTTGCGTGTATGCTGAGCATGTACAGGAGCCTGGGTTGCACACACACACAGCAGCATCTGATAGGAAATCAACCTGGCAAAACTCGGGGCTGGGCCAGCTTCGGTGAAGGGACCCACAGAGGCAGAGGGCTAGGGGCAGGGGACTCCTGGGCAAGGCCAGGAGGGAGCAGGAGCCACCAGGGACAGGCCTCACCTGGCGGGCACTGCACCTGGCAGCCCTCCACACACCGCACAGGACAGGCCAGGGGCTCGGGGTGCTGGCACGTGACAGGACAGGCGGGCACGCAGCTGCTATAGCGCCACTCACACTCGTACCCACTGTCCCGGAGATGCCTCTCCTCGCAGCTCTGGGCTGTGCAGAGAGGAGAAAAGGCTGTGACTCAGAATGCAGCAGGCCACCGTGGGAGGGGGTGGGTGGGTGAGCCTACTGGGGAGCGAAGGGCCACCCGAGTCACTGGCTCTCGTGACTTCTGGATTTGCCAAGCACCCAAGGCGGGAACCTGGTGGTCTAGATTCATTTCCTATATAAAAACAGTAAGTTGTGTGCACCCAAGAAACCAAGACTCCATAGAAACCCACGCGCGCATAGCCCCTTGTACCAGCAAACATGGTCATGTCTGAGACATACTTGGGCTTCCTTCCGCACCTCCTCAGTGTTACCCCTTTTCTTCTTTCAGGACTCTCCAGAAGCAAAGTCCCTGTGGGCCATCCTGAGCCAGGTTCCTCCTCACCCACAGTGTGAACCCTTATTCGGTGTCCTAGTCCTCTCCGCCCCGGGCATCCCGCTAGAGCCTTCCCTCCTCACACCGTGCCCTGCGCCCCACGCCCTCCAGGTCTAGACAGGCACAGGTGGGGGAGCTGTCGAGGCCCCAGCATCAGGACTCACGGCACAGCGCGGCTGTCCTCCAGCTCACCACCTGGCCCTGCTGGGCACACGCGTGAGCGTAGGCAGCGATGGTGTCGCAGAAGCAGGTGCAGTCCCCGATGGACTCGCAGGAGCAGGTGTCGTAAATGCACACGTCCAGGTAAGGCTCGGGGTCCACCTGCAAAGGCGCCTCAGGTCACTGGGGTCTTGGGCCAGCAGCTAGAGTGTGGCTCTCGTTCTGGGCCAGGGTGTTCTGGGGTCACAGAGGATGGGGGCCTTCAGGGCAGGAGACGTGGAAGCCATGGTCCCCACGAGAGGAAATGGGCAAAAGGGCAAGATGCCTGCTTCTTATCCAGAGTGCAGCAAGAGATGTTGCCCTAGCCAGGTTCCCTGGCTTTTGTGGCCAGGACGTGCCTGCGAGCCTCAGAAGGACATCCCAGTGTCCATCTCCCACCTCGCTACCGTCGCCTGTGCATGAGCACCATGGTACATGTTGCCACAAAAACTGTCCCTCTTTCTTTGCCTCGGTGTAGCACAGCGAGGGGAGACACATTCAGACCCACTCAAGTTGCCTCAAGGGGAGCCGCAGGGCAAGCGTGCTGGGAGGGGGGACCCTGGTGGGCTCTCCTAGCTCAGACCCCAAGTCTGTGCCACCCACGCAAGCACGTTCAGTTTCCATCTCGCCTACCCCAAACACGCACTGCACAAGGGCAGCTGTGACAAATCAATTCACGCGCCCAGCAGGCACAGACTCCACGACCTCCCAGAGGCCCCGTTTCCCCGGCTCCCGTCCCTGCCTTCCTTCTCCCGACTCCGATGTCACCAGGCCAGAGAATCTGCACTGTCCTGTGGAACCCTAAAATCCACTGACGTTAAGGCCAGAAAAGAGTTTCTGTGAGAAGAAAGAGGCACTAAGGGGATTGTTTTTGGTGTCTGTTCATCGATGAGGGACGGTCGGGGCCTTAGGTATGGAGACACAGCAATAACAGGCTGAGGAGCCCTTTGTCGCTAGTGTTGGAGACAAGAAAACGCGACAAACTCTAAGACTGGGGGGAAGGAGAGGTGTGGGTAGATGCCACTTCCTGTGCAGTAGGAATCTGCGGCCACGGCCTCCCTAGAAGGCGCTGACTCTGCTTCCCAGACACAGGAAGGACTGCAGCAGCCTCTGGGTGGGAACTGTCGCAGGACCCTAGTCGCTCCCGTGCACCTGAGAACCCCAGGCTGCAGTGGCCCCCGCTGACCCTTCAGCCCACCCTGCCTCCCCTCACCAGCTTGTTGCAGTCCTGGAAAATGTCGCTGGTGAGGACTCTGCAGGAGGAATCCACCATTGTCTGCTTCATGACGTTGTCGTGGCAGGTGGCAGGGGACACGTCCAGCACCACCTGGGGATGGGGGGGTGCGCAGCTGCACCAGCAAGGCAGCGAACTGGGGGGACCCAGGGGGACACGAGAGCCTGTTCCCAGCCTGCCACCACCTGCAGTTCCTGTCTCCCAGCACCCAGCTGCCAACTCCAGGGAATGGGGACCTTCCAGAGGCGGCCTCCGGTCTCCATCCGCTGGGCCACACGCACCCTGCTTGTGTCGGCACACTGTGGGCTCACTTTCCAAGAGTTCCCAAAGTCCACAGCGTTCTCCTCCACTCGGAGGCTGCTGCTGGTGAGGTCATTGTTCTGGATGCCATCAAAATTGCCACAGAGGCCGCATACTTGCTCCTGGATGGGCACATTGGGAGCACACATGCACGCGCTCAGGGCTCAACACCTGCCAGGAACCCAGAGGGCATCACTGCCTAGGTGACTGGGTCCATGGTTCATTAACGGGATGGATGGCCCAGGAAGCAAGGACCGCGAGGCCTCTGGACCCGTACAAGCTAACACTGCATGGCGGCCTCAGAGCCGCTGTGAAGACGGAGCCCACCAAGCCCAATCATGACCGGAGTTGGTGGAGCCACTTGTCACGTGCACACCACAAGAGAATCCAACAAAGTCTCGACAAACCGTCGGACCCGGGAAAAATGCGATCCCCTTTCCCTGCGAGCTCACACTGGCTGTCAAAAGTGCTGGCCTGTGGCTCGATGGCCGGGCAGCCCCCAGAGCGCTTCACAGGGTCATCATCAAACTGTGTGTGGTAGTTTGCCTGAAGAAAAGCTGATGCTGCCTAAGCCCCTGCTCCCTTCCTTTGTGCAGATAAACTGTGTGCCAGGCAAGGGGAACAGAGACAGTCCGGGGGGCCTTGGCCCTCCTTGTGGGCAGCAGCCCTGGGTCGGCCATGGCCAGCTGGACACCCAACTCCATAGCTCATTGTGGGAGGACCACCTTCCCCCAAGACAGCCAGTGAAGGTCCAAACAGGCCACAGACACGACAGCAGGGGGCCCCTGACCTGGAGCGTCCGCTTCAGCACCACGGAGACGCCCAGGCGTCGGTCCCAGACCACAGAGAGGGCTCTGCCCAGCAGCAGGATGACGAACCGGCCCGACTCCACCACCTCAAAGTGTGTCTCATCCTTCATGGGCTTCTTCACATTCACCTGAGGGAAGACACGGCAGGGAACCGGGGAAGGGTCCAGATCACCCCTCTCCACACCCACCTATCTCTGGTGCACACGCGCACACACATGAGGCAGCAGCACCTGGAACCCTACCTGTCCCTTGCCATGTGCAGTCAGAGCTGCGACCTCTAGGCCAGCACCACACGGGGCATTTCCATGTCCCTCCAACTTACCATTCTCCAGGAACTCATAACCAAGGGCAATAATAGAGGTAGCAGCAGAATCATGATTACTACATTAAAAGCACAACAAAACCAGCAGCTGATCGCCATCGTTTCACAGAAAGCAGGGGCTTTCTTTCCAGTACTGGGATGGAACCCATGGGCTCTATCACTGAGCTACACCCCAGCTCCTCTCTTTTTATTGATTCTTTTCTTTTTTTCTTTTCAATTTTGAGACAGAGTCTCCCTAAGTTGCCCAACCGGGACTCAAACCTGTGATCCTCCTGCCTCGGCTTCCCTTGGAGCTGGACTGGGGCTGTTTTGAACCTTGCTCACTCACTGCAGTGGTCCTAGGCAGGCTTTTAATGGGGCAATGGCTTTAAGAACCTCTAGGTCATAGATTTAAAAACCTATCCCAATGAGCACTCCACACTCACTCTGCTTCGTCCCAGCACCTCCTTCTCCCTAGCAGCTGTCATCAGGAGTTGGAGCTAAAGGAAGAGGGCACTGTGCAGCTCAGCTCTAGTCCGGTTCCCCACTCCAGCCAAGCCTTGAACCGCAGGGCAGAGCCAAACCCTCAGACCCGTCCGTGCTCCGCAGTGTGTGAGCCGTCAGCCTCTGCAGAGGCCTCTCCCAGCAGCACCGTGAGCAAGGCCGTCCGTCAGCCCCTCACACGTGAGCACACCTCCACATCACCACTGCCTTCTGTCTACACAGCGGTGGCCGCTGAAAGGTGCAACCCACAGCCAGCCTTGTTGCCGAGCAGCTCTCGTCCGTGACAGCCAGAGAGACCCCCCTCCCGTGTCAGTGGTTTGTGTCTACGGGATGGCGGATGTGGGCTGAGGCCACTGAACAAATGGAGATTCTGGGACAGACTGGGCCCTAGATCTGAGGTCTCCCTGACACCATATGTGCCCAGACCGGCTGACCCACAACTGTGCCCAGGGCAACTGCCACACTAAACCCAGACCCCCGGGCCCCATGCAGACCACTGAGCCACCATCTCAGGATGGAGCCCCGGGACCAGGCTTCCTGTGCATCCATCTGAGAAGCACTTTTCACGCTCTCAGTAGACGGGGTGAAATCTTGTCTCACTTCTGAGCTCTTAAAAATATTTATCTGAAAGGATGGAGATGCAGCTCAATAGTAGAGGACTTGTCTAGCTCTACCTTCGCTCCCTGGTACCACCAAAAATAAAATGCATCTGAGAAGTGAAAAACATAAAGTAAACTAAAATATATATAATTATACAGCAGTCCCCACTTATCTGCAGTTTCATTTTCTGCAGTCACCCATGGTTAGACTAAGGTCTGAAAATATTAAATGGAAATTTTCATAAATAAGTGACTTATGTGTTTTATTATATAAAGTTTTACATCAAGAAATGTTATAACCCAAGCACTCTGGGAGGCTGAGGCAGGAGGATCATAGGTTCCAGCCCAGCCTGGGAAACTGAGCAACTTAGCAAGACCCTGTCTCAAAATAGAAAAGGCCTAGGGATTTGGCTCGGTGCAAAGGCCCTCAGTCCGATACCCAGCACTGCAAAAATATGTATATAGTAGAAGTTATACTAAATATCCCCACAGCTTCTATCACAGTATGTTGTTAACGATTGTTCCATCTGTTGCTAGTTATTGGCATTACTCACACAGTAATGGTCCACAAACTAAGCTTTGTCGTAGGTGTGTGTGTATAGGAGCAATGGCGTATGCAGGATTTGGCGCTACCTGCAGTTTCAGGGTTCAACTGAGGCCCCGTGGACGAGGGTTCCCCCCCTCCCACGCTTACACGCACACGGTCACGCCCTCTCACGCGCATCCACACTCTAACGTGTGGGCTGCTGCTTGTTCTGCCCACAGAGCAGTCGCCAGGGCCAGGTGGCCAGCCCGCAGCCCTGCTCTACGGGGCTCACAACCACTCAGCAAATGCTCCAGTGAGAGCACGGAGAGGCTGGGGGCCCAGCTGCCTCTCACCTCCCCGTCAAACAGCTCGACCTCGCCTCCTTCCGCCAGGATGGTGACGCGCTTCCTGCATTCCGCGGAGGGGTAGCCGCACCCCTCGTTCCCCACCAGGATCCGGAAGGTCCCGGGGTTCCCGCTGCAGTGGTCCTGGGGAGAGGCGTGGAGAGAGGCGCATTATCCCTGCCACCCTCCCTCCCTCACCAAAAGACGGCACCTCGTCCTGAACACTGTCACGCCCACCGGTGTGCACGTGACTGTGTCCCCACGTGTGTACAGGGCGGCCCCGGCCGAACTCCCCCAGCGCTCAGCCGCGATGGACGGGCCGCGTGCCCAGGTGTAGGGGAGGTGCCCTCGCCCCGACCTGTGACCCAGCCCAGGGGCAGCTCTAACATCTGTGGAGCCTCCCGGACGGTGGCTGGCTCCTGAGCGTAACCAGAGCGGCTGTGACAGGGTCCGGGCCTGGGCACCGCAGCGCCTAGGTGCAGAGAAGGCATGAGGGCCCCTGCTGCACAGGGCTCTAGACAATTAGGCAAAAAGACACATGCCTGGTGAGTAGCTCCCCGTGGGGGCCACTGCCGCAGAGCAAGAGGAGAGACCACCGACCCAAAGCCCTGGATGACTCCTGGTAATGTGAAGAAATCGCTTCCCTCTCGCACACGCAGGCACACACCCACACACCCATGCACACTTATGCACGTACATCATTAGGGCTTATATCTAGTGTCCCCCAAGCCTCATGTGCTCAGAGGTGGGGCTTTGGGGAGGGACTGGATTGTAGGCGTAGTGCTCAGCACTGGCGGGATTACAGCAGGGGTGAGGTTGGGAGGTGATGCCTGACAGAAAGGGATGGGTCTCTGGGCGTGGCCTGGAAGGGTCCACAAACCCCTCTCCCACTCTTCATCCCTCTCTGCTTCCTGCCCATTGTTGTTGCCCTACCCAGAGCTGTTTCTGCTCTGCCAGCTGACTATGGACTGAACCTCTACAAACTGTGAGCCAAATAATCCTCTCTCCTTTAGCCTGTGGGTGTCCAGTACTGTGTCCAGCAACGAGATGGAACTGAGACAGCCACACACATCATTTCCACACAGGATCCATCATACACTTACACTTGCACACGTCACATGCACATATGCTACACCTACACGGATACATGTAACTGTATGTGCACACTCACATCATACATGCACACATGCACAATCTGCCCCTCTTTAAGATGAGGATCATCACCCCCGCAGGCTTGTTCGGTTAGGTAAGTCTGTGTTGAGGCAGTGGGCTGTGGAGGTCACAGGAACAAGGGGGCCCGAGCTGTCCTGTTCCCGCCCCAGTGGAATGGGAAAGAGCTCAGCCAGAAGATTCCTGAAAAGGAAGCGGACTCGGGAGGGGCCCAGGACAAAGCACCAGAAAAGGACGAGGACCGGCTGTGGGGAAGGACAGCCAGCAACCCCCAGAGGCCACGATTTGACTGGGGACTCGTGGAAGCAGGCATGGGGAAGTTCCCGGGCAGGGGAAGAGGAAGAGCAAGGGGCCAGCGGAGCTCAGGCTTCTCCCGCCTGAAAGCCTGGTCTGCAGAGCTCAGATCTGAAGTGGTTTGGTGGCTGTGTCTCCCGCTGAGGCAGGGAGCCAGGTCACGGAGAGCCGCTTCCGGGGACAACTGGGGACGCTTTTGAGGCCCACACTGCCAGCTCACCGGTGTCACAGAACACCTGCCCCCGCCGGCTGAGTGGGTGTGGGGTCCCCAGTTCCTGCCCTGGGGCCGAGGCTCCTCTAGACCTGGTCCTTCCCTCACAGTGCACCGGCTCCCACCACCCTGCCCTACCCCGGGAGACAGCAAGACCACGCTTGTCTGAAGTGGCTCCTGGGTCACGCTTACCCCCTTGCTGTCAGCCAGCGGGAGGAATCCGCAGGAACCCGAAGGTGGGGAGGGGAGGCAGAAGGCCGGGGCCGCCCCCCACTGGCTGGCCAGGGTTTCCCGAGCAATCCCCACCCTGCTGGGTCGGGCAGACGGGCTTCCCCAGACCCTGTCCTCTCCTCCTCCCCATTCAGTCACACCCTGCTAGAAATGAAAACGGGAAGACGGTGATGGGCCCCGGGGCCGGCCGAAAACTCCAGGGTGTGGGCTGCTGCACATGCTGCTCCCCGCAGAGATGCTAGGAGGGAGGCTGGGGCCTAAGTCCCCCGGCTCCACACCAAGCTCTGCCTCCTGGCTGAGGCATGGCTGCCAAAAGGCAGGGGTGCACTTCGGCATTGCTGTGAACTGAGGGCCTCTGGCCCGTTCTCCGCAGTCTCCAGGCGGGCAGCAGGGAAACCACAGCCGCGCAGGGTTTCCGACCTCCTACTCTTTGAGCACATCTTCCAGGGCCTGGAAAACTCCTCGGTGAAACCAGACCCAGAGCTCTTCCTATGGCAGAACCCGACCTGGAAGCCCACAGGCACGGTCGGCAGCTCCAGTGCCCCAGGGACAGGCCCAGCCTGGGAGCCCTGCTCACCTGCACCAGAATGTACTGGCACTCCCCAGGGAACATGTACTTGAGCCCATCAAAGGTGAGGTAGTGGGCCATGCCAAGAGTGGAGCACGTGGCGTCACACACACGGTCGGTGCAGTTCCACTTCCGGCCCTCGCAGACACTGGGAGAGAGAGTGAGAAGAGCTGATCAGGCACCCCAGGCCCCAGAGGGCCGGGCAGGGATCCAGGACCTTCCAAGGTGCCACTGGGCCGCCAGGCACCTCAGGAACCCAGCAGGAGAGAGGAAAGCCATGCTGCTGCCCTCCAGTTCTAAGGGGGAAACTGAGGCAAAGAAGGGAAGCAGTTGTCCAGGACAGGCCTGGGCCTTCTCTCTGCCACCTGCTGTGGATCGGCCAGGAGCCAGCCTCACCCTGGAAGCCACAAGTCAGCCTGGGACTGGGAAACGGGCTCTGCAAGGCTGGCACAAATCCCTCTGGGGTAACACAGAAAATAGGACAGAAGAGCAGCGAGGTTCTGAGTGTGAACAGTGATGAGCCGCGGACTGGTGCCCAGAGGGTTTGTGTGATGAAGCTGGAGCTGTGTGTTTAAGTCTATGGCGATTCGCTGGCGGCCACGATCCCCACCACACTGGCGCCAGAGCTGATCTCAGCACCCGCGTGCGTCAGCAGCAGGGAGCTCTGGCCCCAGGCGGCCCTGCCCCAGTTGCATGGCCTCTCCAGAGCCCTTTGCCACACCCCTCCATACCACACCACGCCAAGCACACTGGGAGCACCCTGCTGGGATGGGTCCCTGACCTGTCCCTGACCTGGCCACACATGCAGGGTTCCGGGTCCTCTTCCTCCCCAAGGCCCTGCACAGAAACACTAATCCCTCACACACCATCCATTTGGAATGATGCAGACCACGCTGAAGTTTCCCATTGCACAGATGGAGAAACAGAGGCCCGGGGAAGAGAACTGAGCATGCAGGCTCCAGAACAGGGTCGCCTGGTGCCGTCATCTCCTCCTCCTCCTCCCGCCCTGCCCAGCCGGGCCCAGGCCTCACCAGGTGTTGCAGCCAATCTTCACTGTTTCTCCCGGGGCAAACTCCCGGCCCTGGTGGAAGCAGGGACACCTTTCCAGGGCCACACATCTGTTTTCATGCCGGACCTGAGGGGAAAGAACCAAAGCCCTGAAGGCCCCACTGGAGAGGCGTCTCCGGGCTGGGACGAAGCACGGGAAGCAGGACTGAGCCAGGGACACCCTCAGCCACGGGGCTAGGACAAGAGCCACGCCTGGCTGGGGCTTGGCATGCAGGGCCCTGTCTACACTGCCTCTGTCCACTGACCCCGCCAGGGACAGGTGCGCAGAGACACTTCTGAAACCCACTCTGGCCCCGGGGAAGTGTGCGGGTCCATATGAAGCACGCCTGCAAAGGAAGTGGAGTACGGACTGGCTTAGGGGAGCACTGTTTACCACTGCCAAACAATGGAAATAATCAAGTGTTCAGTGACCAGAAAATGATTACATTATCCAGGAGTCCCAGGGCTGGCGCCTGTGGAGCTGTGAGGACAGCCACTAGGAGGACGGCGTGCCACGGGAAATACTTCCACAGCTCACTTTCAAGACAGGGAAGAAAACTGTACATGTACATGGTTGCAGTTTTAAATATACACGTGTCCCCAGAAAAAGACTAGAAGGAAACAGAGAAGCTGCCTGCAGGTGGCCGGCTGGGATGGGGAGCGTGGAGGCTTCAGTCTCTTTTTGGGTTCTCTGGTTTTTGGCAAGCACCCTTCAGTGAGAGCACATTAGGTTTCTAATGGTGACGTCCACACCCCTCATCCACTGGGCCGGGTGAGAAGGAGCTAAAACCCGCTGACCCTGGCCTGGAGATGGCTTCTGCTTCAGCTCCAGCAGCCCCCCAGAGTCCGCTCCCTCGGGCTGAGCATGGGAGCTGGAAAAGTGGCCGGCTCAGCCCCAGGAAGGTTCAGGCACCTCAGTGTCACCGCCGGCGAGGAGCCGGGCTCCTGGGCTGCAGGCCCAGCTCCACAGGGTCCTGTGCATGGGGAGTAACATCCTCCACTAACACCACCTCCACCAACCCGGAGCGACCCGATCCCCCAGGACAAGGAGAGGCAGGCTGGGAAGTCCGTGAGCTTCGGAGCCCAGTGGGGATGATGGAAGCTTGGTAGGAACAGGAAGAGGCTGGAAATCACCTCTGTTCCAGATCCTTCAAAATCTCTGTCACATTCAGGGTTCACTTCCAGATCCCCACTTTCCTCAGCTGACAAAAGTCTGAGGCCTGCCACCTAGCGGCTGCTATGAGAATGACCGAAGCTCCCGACGCTCCCACCGCTCCTGCAGTTGGCGGACAGGGGTCAGAGGGACACAGCGTGCTGTGACACTGAGCCTGGTCCATCGAGCCCAGCCCAGCAGGCACGTGCTGTCCTCTCCCTGCAAGTGGCCGAGATCAGCAGGCTGCAGCCTGCGCCCCTCTCTGGGATAGTCCCTCACTCTCGGAAAGTTCCATGCACCTCGCCAGGGCGAGTCTCCCAGCCCACGTGGGGTCTCCAGAAGCCCAGCCTCCTCCCAGAACACACTCAAATTCCAGCTCTGCCAGGAGGGGATGCTACACCCCACAGCCTCTGCTCCTGACCCTACATCACGCAGTAAAGGCACTCATGGCCAATGGGTCGCAGCATTAAGACTGGACTTGTTAGTAAATGAGCACTAATCCATAAATTAGAGCCATCGAGGAGGGTGACACAGCCATAAGGACAGGAAGGGGCTGCTGCAAGATGCTGCCTGCCTCGCACGAGCCAATCAATAACAAGATTGCCTGTGTGCTGGAAGGACTCCAGGACCAGGGTGACAGGAGCCAGGTGAGAACTGGCCAGAACCGGCTGGATCCCTCGACCAGTCACTGAGACCTTGGGTCTGCAGTGAAGGCAGCCATCTCCACCCTAGGGTGGGTTCCCCTGGTACACCAGAGGGCCACTAGGAGAAAACTCACAGACACCCTTTGACGATTCACAGAAAGCATCAGAAACACTCGCTCCACTGCCAATCAACTCAGGGTTTTCTGAGTAAGGGAGGCTGTCACTGAGAACATGCTGCTAGGTCTGCTCGGCTCCCGGAATGAGTAGGAAGTTGACAAAATCTGACCTTGCTACTGTGCTCTGAAATGGCCCCATCCCCACCCCGTATGTGAGCACCAGGCTCGGGTTCGGTTCTTTCTGTGGTGTTTTTGTTTTTCTGGCCTGGTGGTTCTCCTTCTCCATCAAGCCTCCAGCACTGTCTGGGTTCAATCTCTAGAACCACCAAAAACAAACAAAAGGCCTCAAAACTTTATAAATCCTTACAGAAAATCAACCACACTCTAGCATAAGATATCTAATCAGGCTTAAAAAGTGACGTTTGGGGCCGGGGATAAATGCTCTGTGATTCAGGTGCCTGCCTCGCAAGTGCAAGGATCCGAGTTCGATCCCTGGTACCAAAAAAAGTGACGTTTCGTAAGATTTTAATACCCACAGGTGAGGGCACTCAGGGGCCCTGAGCCCAGCCAATGGAACCACCGCCCCAAGGCTGCCCCAGACCGAGGAAACCCAGGGGGCTGAAGGGCGGCTGGGCTGGGAGTCAGGAGTGCGGTGTGCACTTGAGCTAGCTGTTCTCTTTTCCCTCCTCAGTCTCCCCGTGCTGAAGAGGGGTTGCATCCGTCGGTGTTGAGTTTCCTCCTAGCCCCGCCACTAAGGTGACCCCAGAAAGATCTGCAGCTGTGCAGTGGGCTGTGCTTTGCTGCCATCTAGTGGTCTGAGCTAATTCAAAGGCGTGGATGCTTCAGGCCAGAATCTTTGAACTAAAGAAAGTGACTTGTCCTGCAGTGCCATCCCCTCTTTATTGACCCAACAGGTCTCTGAAGGTGAATCCTGGGGTCTGAAAACTTACTCTCAGTGTGTGGCGGCTAATTTCCTCTAGCATCTCTGTGCCTGATATGAGTTGAGGTTTTCCCTCTGTGAACTTCTGGTGACAGTGGATAATAACCACCACGTAGGAAGCACCTTCTGCGTGACTGTCACGCTGTTATCTACCGACCCTTCTAATCCAACTTGACAGGTGCAGAAATTGAGACACAGACCTGAAGCGATTCGCTGTTCCCACACCATGTCGTTCCCCGAGGCTCCTCCTCCGGCCACTCTTCATGGTGCTGCCTCCTATAAAAGCATCCTGTCCCCTATTCCCAGCAAGGGAGGTGGGCACCACTGACAGGAGCAGACCGAATGCAGTTTGCAGGGTGGGCCAGTGCCAGGTGGGGACAAATCAGAAAGAAAAGGTCTCCCTCCTCCCCCCAAGATTCTGAAGCAGATGTTCTGGGCCTTGAATGAGGAAAGGCTGTCACTGGCCCAGGCCACTGCCCAGGCCGACCTGGGTGCTGCAAGAGCTGACACGGAGGTGCAGCCATCTGACAGAGCACAGTTGAGTCTTAGATACGTGACTGGAACCAGGAGGGGCTCACATTCTGTATGTCACATTCTTTCGTTTTACTCTTCTGATAGTTTGCTTGTGCTATATTTACAAAAGCATTGTTCCAGGGCTGGAAATCTAAGCAGAAGGGGCCCTACTTGGAGCCCCCCTGTGGACAGCAGCAGGAGATGGTCTATGCAGCCTCGAAACCTGGGCTTGGTTATTTATGAAAACCATCTTGCATTGCTGTGATTCTGTAGCACCTGCCGGTGTTAAAGGTGCTTTCAATGCCTGTTCTTTGGGCCCAAACCAACATGGGGGCACAGCACAAGCTGTGTGCTTGGATGCAGCTGAGCTTTGCACAGGAGCGGGAGCCAGATGGTGGCAAGTTTCCCTCGGAGCAGGCCACCAGCCCTGTCCTCCCCGGTGTCTTGGTGCTTTCCAGAAGCTGCCCCCAGGAGAAAGCAACTTCTCTCCCTCTTGGAAGTTCTCAGAACAGGATTCCTGCCCCTCCGCAAACCCTTGGCAGCATGCCACACCCCACCACCTCACACAGGTGACAGAGAAGCTCCAGGCTCTCAGTCTGCACTGTCCAATGGGCCCAAATAAGGTGCTTCCAGCTCCACTTTCTCTGTGTTCCAGCCAGAAACATGTGTCCCTTGCTACAGCCAGCACACGGCACACACTTAATAAATTACACGGGCTTCTCTGCTCTGCCAGTCTGGCCTCAGCAGTTTGCACATGAGTCGGAGTCTTGGTGAAGCAGAGGTGAAAAGAACCCACTCTCTTGCAGGCTGAGCTTTCCTGTTTGCGATCCCCTGAAGTGCAGGTGGAAGCCCCTCCTCTGGGACAGTTCTGCCCTCAGAATGCAGCCAGAGGTGCCAAAGGCCAAAGCAGTGCTTCACCCACGTCCACGCCCCGGGCCTGAGGTCACATTCTTCACTCAGGATTTGAGGTCATAATGCAATTATTGTGGTTGTTAATACTTAAAACTGTCTGGGTTGCTTCCTCCATAACAAAAAGAACTCATTTGAAAGCATTCCTGGCACTGACGCAATTCCCTGCGAGAAGTCCCTCTCCCTGTGTGCGTCCTCGGATGCTGGGAGTCGACACCCCAGGTATAAAGCCGAAACTAGGGTCTGTGTCCTCTTGAAACTCTGAGACCCCTGGGGATGGGGGCCGGGGATTTAGCTCAGTGGTTCCGCCACCTGCCTTGCAAGCTCCAGGATCCCAGTTTGGTCCCCAATACCAAAAAAAAAAAAAAAGAGCCCGGGGATAAAAGGACAAACAGGACCCTTCCCCTGCCTGGTCCCATATCTGCCCCGCCCAGGCCTGGCTTCCCTGACCTTATTAGAGATCCTCCATGAGCACCCCCTTCTGCAAAGGCAAGAACTATACCCTGCAGCCTGGGGTGCTCACAGCCAGTCCAGCTCCCTGATTCGAAAGGACAGTTCCAGAACCCCCAAGCCTAAGGGGAACACCCCGGGGAGGTGATGAAGGCTGGTGTCTGTGTTTGGAGAGAAAGAATAAAACGGAGTATCTGCCTGCACCCACACCCACGCCCCGCCTCCTAGGGACTTGCCAGACAAAGCCTCAAAGCTCCCGGAGCCTCAGGCTGAGTCTTTAGTGTAGTTAGTTCCCCCTCCCTGCAGCCAAATGAGAGCTTCCCTCCCCTCCCATCTGGACTCTAGTGCCCTGACCCTCACTGCTCACTTTGGGTATGGGGATTAGAATCAGGGAATTGCAAGAATCAAGCCCAGAAGCTGCATTCTCCAGGGCGATGACAATAATATCCGTCACATATCTCATACAAAACCGGCCTGAGATGAGATGTGAGGAGGCTTAGGAGGCGTGGGCATGCTTGGGCCATGGCCAGCAGCAGCAATTCCGAAAGACCCACACAGGACCCATGCCGCTGCAAAGCAGCCTGAGCCTGGACTCGGGCGGCTGCAACCACGACCCACAGGCTGGAGCTGCAGGGGCCCAGTGGAAACGGAAAGCAGGGTGAGGCTTGGCATCACCGCCCCACTTTCTGTCCCCGTTGGCACCTTACAGCCCCAGTCACTCTCTGCTTGGGTCTGCATGCAGGCCTGTGGACACCTCCCGGGTGTCGGGGTCAGCCCCAGCTTCAGGCCGTCCAGACATCTTCCAGTCTTCAGGGTCATCCAGTTGCGGGAAGGGGTGCCTAGGGGTGTCCTAAACCTGTGATCCCCTCAGGCCCCTGGAAAGCAGGGCCTCCAAGGCCACCCCAGGATGAGGCCATCTCCCCCAGGAGGAAGCAATCATCCCATGGCAAAAGCAAGGCTGCCACCTGGCAAGCGAGAGCAGTCACCGCCCAGGAACCACACTGCGCCTGGAGCCAAGGAGAGGCATAGGGGCTCCGGACTAGGAGGAGCTGAGCACCCAGGCCCGCCCACCAGGGTCCACCAAGCTGGGCCTGGGCTCTGATACAGCCCCTCTGAGCCTCTTCCGAAGACAGTGCCCGCTCCCTCACTTTCTGTTTCCACCCAATCAGTGCCCTGTGCCTCTCACTGACGTGTCCTGAAATGCTCTTCCTGGACAAGAGTTAATGAGCCTACTCCGAGAGGGCAAGGGTGAGGGGAGGCCCTGTGTTCCCCCGAGGGGACTTCCTCGGGCCCCTCGGGTGACAGGAACTCCATGCACGTTCACAGCCCCAGCCCCAAAACAAGACATACAAGGCTGGCCAAGATCTCACAACGCACTGATTCTTACTAGCTACAGTGGCACCGAGGGACTTCAATGGCTTCTCTTGAAATGCAAAGTTACACACATGTATGCAAATCATATGTAAATGTGTGTCCTATCTTCATGCCATGGAATCCAGGCTTGGGAAGAGCCTGGTGAAAATGCCTGCTTTTACTTCTATAAGTATTTTCTAGAAATACTTTCTGTGCTTCCCATGGCTCTCCTGGGAGCCAAGATCTTATATTTTTGTTGTTGTTGTTGTTGTTGTTTTGGTACCCGGGATTGAACTCCGGTCCTTGCGCTTGCACAGCAGGCGACGAAACCACTGAGCTAAATCCCTGGCCCTGGATCTATTTTTGTCAGCTCCCGTGAGGATGAACCCAGACTTTTCCTCCCGACCCCTCCCTGACTTGGAGCTGCCCCACCCCCCACTCTCATTTCTTCCTCCGCTGGGTCCACGGCCCCTGGAAGGAAGGGAAGGGAAGCACCCACCCCTTGGGCAGGGCTGGCTCACCATGCCTGGGGGGCAGAGGCAGCCGGAGACACAGCCAGTGCCCATGCACTCCAGATCGTAGTTCTGGCAGGTCTTGGCACACTCCATGCCTTCGGCCCTTGGGTTGTCAGCGGGACACACGAACTTGACCATGGGCGGCCGACAGAACAGGCTCCTCTTGCCTGGGAGGTAGGGAACCAAAGGGGTGAGGGGTGCAGGGTCCCCCTCCCGCACGCCTCCCTGGGAGCGGGTGCGTCCAGCTCCCCAGGGACCAGGGCAGCAGGTCTTCGCCCTCTGAGCTGTGCTGAGTCCATGTCCCTCCAATGGCTGAATTCTCACCCTGTGCCCCACTGCAGCAGGGTGCAATGAGCCAGGCTGCCCTGCAGAAGCTTCCAGACCAGCCTGTAAGAGACCTGGGTTCGGGGCTGAAAAGGAGCCTTGGCAGAACCCAAGGAAAGCATCCCTCAAAGGACTACAACTTATGAGGAAGAGAGGCCCTGGGGCTGCAAAGACTAAGTGCTCAGGGGTCAGCCTCTGCCGGCTGCTCCCTGTCCGTCCTCAGCCCCGGACCCCTAGTCCCCCTGCCCTTCCACCTTCCACACTGCGCGTGCTCTTCTCACCACCTGTCACACTACACGCCTCGATCGCTTGCGGGCCACTGCCCCCCACGCTACCCACTACAGCATGGCTCCATGAGAGCAGGGAGTTCTTTCCCGTGTCCTTTACAGTGCCTTTTCCTGGTGGTTCATAGATCTCAAAGCTGGCCAGATAACGAGGAGAGTGCACAGCCGACACAACGCCTTTCTTTTATGTACGGTGCACTTAACTGCATCTATATCACTCATCATGTCCTCTAGGCAAGAAAGCCGGAATTTCCAGCCTCATTTTATATGGAAACTCCAAAAAAATAAATGGCTTTTCCCCATCTGCACAGAATTCCAGGAGTTTCCTGGGTTTGCAGAGAAGATACCTCCCAGTTCCCAGGCTCAAAGGCTTTGCCAAGGGTCCATCAGGGCAAGTCAGGGGAAGGGTGTGGCGGGGCGACAGTTGGGGACATCGTGAGAGTGAAGGATGGGGAAGGGGACTGCGTGCCTTAAGGCCACCATGCTGATTGCACCTTCTGAGCCACCTTAGCTGGGGATCTTGCCAGCTCTAGAGCCACTCCCCAGTGGGTCCGCAGGAAGCCAGACCCAACCCTCACCCGGGGCAGCTGGGACCCATGGCTCAGAGCCCGGCCATCTGGACAGAGGAGCCTGGGAACGGGCAGAGGCAGAGGACTCAGACAGCCCGCTACAGCCCTCCTGCTGCGAGGCTCCTCTCCGAGCAAGGGCGAGCCTGCCGGAGGCGGAGCAGCCCTGTGGGAGACAGGGCTAGCCAACCCAAGGCCAGCCCGCTCCTCCACTCCTGTCCTATGGCACAGCAACTACTAGGACCTTCCCTGGGAGAAACTGGCCCTGACCCTTCTTTCAAACCGGTCTGAGAAGCTTTCGAAGAGGTGTCCTTGTGCACATGTCCACAGGAAACAAGAGGCCACCGAGAAACAGGAATTGTCATCGTGGTGACCGTCTCACTCCCGCTGTCCCCTGGACTAAGGTCACCGAGAGCAAACGGAGGTCTCACTGAATCCACCTCGTGGATAAGTTGGTCTTTTCCCTTCCACAAAATAAAATCCCTCTTGCCTCAATCACCTGGATTTACCACACAAAGACATGCCTCGCCCTGAAAATTACCCACACAGACCCAGAAATCGGGGCACTCCCGGGCAAAGCCAGACCTGTCCCTGAACACATGGGCACTCCCTCTTCTGCTCCGTGCTGGAGGAGCCTGGAGGGAAGAGGAGGGGAGGGGAGGGGAAGGGCTCTGGGCACAGTATTCACCGCGGTGATGGTGACGGAGGGGGCTGCTCAGGGCCCAGCCCGGCTGAGTCCTGGGGCCTCCGCTCTCCGTGCAGTGCATGAAGCCGTCCTCGCAGTAGCTGCAGAGGGGAACAGAGAGCCGTTGGCTGTGCTGTCCTGTGTCCCTGTCTCCCACTCTCTCCCTCCAACCAGGCTCCCAGACCCCTCTGTCCGGAGGGCAGCTTCCCAGGACCACCAGTGGCCCCATGTCATTAAATCCCATTGAACCATTTTTCTATTCTTTTCTTCCTTGACCCCCTTTACCATTATTCATCACTGTTGACTACTCTGCTGTTTTAGAAGACAGAAACCTCCCTTCCCAGTTTCCTGCTACTTCCCTGGTTGCTCTTTCTTACCCCACCCTGCCTGGCCTTTCAGGGCCGGTGTCCCCTGGCTCCATCCTAGCTGCAGGGACAGAGGTGATGCACATTCACAGCAGCAGCTGCCCCTCTCCTCCGGCCCCGGCCCACACCTACAGATGCCTCCAGAGCAGCTTCCTCCGGGGCCTCAAAGACACCTCAGACTCAGAGTGTCCCAGCCCTGGTCCTCCACCAGCACCAGGCCCTCCTAGAGCTGCTTCGTGGACTGCACCCCATCCGCCTGGTCTCATTCTACAATCAGAAACCCAGGTTCCCCCCTGACACCACCCTGTCCCTCGCCTTCTGTGCCGGATCCCCCACCAAACCCTTGGGCTTTGCGTGCTCCGGTCCACATCTCCACCCACGGCTGCCAGCACCTCCTTCTAGACAGTGCAGAAGTCTCCTAGCTGATGCTCCTGGGCCTAAGCTTGGCCTTCTCTAAAATGCCCCTCCTGGAAAGCACGTGTCTTCACAAAATCTAAATTGGATTGGTCACATCCCTGACTGAAACACTCCACAGCTTTCCCCACAACAGTCTTCAGGTAGAGATCAGATCTCCCTGTGATCTGACATCGCCCTCCCTCTCCCTTCTCCAGCCCCCAGCTGCCTTTGAGTCTTGGGGGCCCTGCTCTGCTTGGCACAAGCTTCTGCACTTTACTCTGACCTAACCCAGGCCATGGCTTCTCCCCAGCACATGCATGAGTGGTCTTCTTTGCCCCACCCCACCCCAAGCTGTCACAGAGCAGCTATTTTCTTCCTGGAGCTGTGACCACCCTTGTAGCTGGCTAGCATCTGCCTCTCACTGGAGGTAAGATCCACTAGGGTAGAAGCCACGGCTGCTCTTGTTCACCACTAAGTCCCTAGCATGCAGCGTAAGGCTTTGCATAAAGTTCTCAATATTCTTTTATTTTTCACTGACACACAAGATTGCACACCTTCCGGAGCTACCGTGTGGGATTCGGACACACACTGCCAAGTGCAGTGTGACAGGCATATCCACCACCTCAGACAGCTCTCAAAGTTCTCTCTCCTAGCTACTTTAAATCAGTCAGAGGTTGTTAACAGCAGCTGTCCTACAGGACCCTGGGACTCCAGCCAGCTCCTGGCCCCAGGCCTGCTTTCGGCCGGAGCTGCCCCCTCCTCCGGTGACGACTTCAAGGGTGAGCACAGGCGTGGCCAGAAGGATCTGGGCTACCTGTGTGCACCCTCCTGCCACCTCTCCCCGAACATCGCCAGCACTGCCTCCAGCAAGGCTCACCCTTCAGTGAGGGGCTCAGGGACGAAAGTAAACAGCCACAGGCATGTCAGTGGCACACACTCTCCATGAGATCCAGTTCCCAAGTGCAGCGGAGATTGAGGGAGGTTGCTAGGATCAGCCTGCTACAGAAGAGGACAGAGCCTGCTCACCCAGGGGCTGCTGCATGTGTCCTGCCACCGTCTCTGCTATGCAGAAACAGCTGCTGGCAGCTGCTGTCCCCACGTCACCCCCACTTCCTGACTTCTTTCCTCCTCCTGAAAATGGGGACCACCATGACCCATTGCTCTAGGAGCTCACCAGTCTGCTCTCGGCACAGTGTGCAGCGCGCACAAGCCCCGGTTCTATTCACTTGCTGGATGACGCAGGAAAGTGATCCCCTCTCTGCCTCAAACTCTTCACTAACAAGGCAAGCTCTGCTTGGCCATGCTGCTGCTGCTGCATTAAGGTCCCAGAGGGAAGCACCCCGGAAGCTAGAGCCCAACGAGGGTGCGGAAAAATCAATCGGGCCAACATCGGACTCGATGGCTGTCAGCCCTGGCCAGCTGTGGCTTCTGCACATTCAATAACCCCAGGTCAGAAGTATTCACAAAACTGCATCTGCCCTGCACACATGCATCTCCCCTTGCAACTGTCTCCCAGGCGATGCACTGTGACCACTACTTATACTTTACCCACATGGCGTTAGGCATGTCAGTATCCCAGAGATGGAGGACTGCGGTCTACATACAAAGGCTGCCCAATCTTACACAGGCGCTGCGCCTCTGTGGTTCAGTAACCTTGCTGGGTCCACACCCCAGCCTCACGAATACCAACCGCGCTTCCTTCTTCCCCTGATCACCACAGGAGGGCACCATCCTGCTTCTGCCCTTTCTGCGGCCCTCGCCCACACCCCTTCCTCCTCTGGTCCTGGGAAATGACCAAGTTCCAGGCTCCCTGTCCTCTCTGGCCTCCTGGCCATCCTCACCGCTCTCGTGGGTATGCTTTGCAATCACTGCTTGGGATGGTCTGTGGCCCCCGAGGCTCATGTGCTACAAGAAACTTGGAAGAAACAGACTAGCGAGGTGGAGGGCCCTGAAGACCTGCGACCTAGTGGGAGGGCGGGAGGTCTCCAGGAAGAGTTAGTGACTGTCACCGGAAGGACTTAGGTCTCGGCAGACTGGGCTCCCTTTCCAGAGCATGGGTGGTTTGCAAGGGCCCAGCACATACTCACTGCCTTGCACGCCCTGCTCTCAGGTGCAGCTGCCCAACCCCAGGCCCATCAGCCTCCAGAGCTGTGAGCCCAAATAAACCTCCTTTCCTCGGAGTGCCCAGGCCCAGGTGTTTTAGAGCACCTGAAACCCGTCTCAGAGCACGGGCCTTGGGGCAGGGCCGCTGCTCAAATGCTTCAGCCTGAGGACACTGGAAGGAGGCTGGCAGAGAGGCCCCTGGGAGTGCTCCTACTTCCTATTCTAGAAAGGGAAACTGAGGCCTGGAGCAGGGAAACAGGGCCCAGAACATGACAGCTGGCAAGAACAGTCAAGCACCCTCACTGCCAGCCTGGAGAGCTAGTCCCTGCCCAGGAAGGAAGTCAGAGACCAGGGTGCCTTCTCGGCCATGCTTCTGACACACTGTACCAGGGTGGCCAGGTCACTGCCTTCCCGGGCCTCGGTTCACCCATCCACACAGTGAAAGCCATTTCCCATCATGCTCTGCCGTTTGCAGTCCCTCAGCCTGCACTCACCATGTGGTGTGATGGTCCGAGAAGATGTCTGCGGGCTGGAAGATCTCACCATCGTGGTAGCAGGGGCACTGGGCCTTGGGCACGCAGTCCCCCCTCTCGTCCTGGAAGAGCCCCGGGGGGCAGAAGCAGCCCTCCATGCAGACCTTGGTGCACTCCTCCTCCGGGTAGGAGAGGGAGCGGCAGGTCAGGTTGCAGGGGGCCCCACACTGCAGGTACACCTGGCCCTGCGGGCAGCTCAGGGCTGGAGGGGAGAGGAGGCGTCAGCAGCAGCTCTGAGGGACATCGGGCGCAAAAACATACGGCATAACTACAGATACTCCGTATCTCCTCTCTAACAAGCCGGAAGGCGTTGTAAGCACCTCCGATTTCCCCAAGCCTAGGGCATAGTGGAAATCCTGGTGCCTCTGATGATTCAGAGTGATGCTGAGAGCTTCTCCATGACAACCATGACAATGACAGCTCCCATTTTTGAGCACCTACTGTGTGCCCCACACGCACAGAGGACATATGCCTCACTCGGTTAGTCAGCTTTCATCATGCCCTTTCTGTGGGTAAGAAAACCAAAATATGAGCTGAGGGAATCAGCAGGGTCATGCCTCTCGGAGAAGCAGGAGCAAAATTCAAACCCAGCTCTCTGAAGCCCTAAAGATCAGGTTCTTAATCGTTGCGGTCTAAAACAGAAATACTCTGATGGGTCAGGCAGCAGCACAGCCCAATCGAATAATAACCATTTTTATCTCTCTGCCCATCTATCTACCTATCTGTCTGTCTACCTGCCCATTTATCTGCCCATCTATCTGTACATCTGTCTGTCTATCTCCGTGCTAGGGATCACACCAGGGTCTCATGCTGGCACTGAGCTATGGCCCCAGTGCTCCCCTCCGTGTGACTCTCAGACTTTCGCTGCTCCTTATAGGAAAGGGTCTTAAAAGTTATTCAAACTGAACTTTAAAAACAACAGGTAAAACTTCATGCACCATATCTCCCAAAGTGTGTACATGTCCAAATTTTAAATAAACTGGTCTTGTAAAATTTTTTAAAGGAAATGTTCCGTTTGAGGACACAAGCATCCCTAACAGCAGTGACATACACACCCTCCCCAGCCCCATCTGCCCTCCACCCTCATGGCCCTGTCCTTCCAGGTGGGAATGCAGATCGCTGCAGGACACCAAAGCCAGGAGGAAAGGGACAGCAGCTAAAGCAGCTCAGAGAATGGGCCTGTGACTTTCTCTACTGGGGGGTATGGAAGGCAGGGGAGCTGGGGTGTGCTCTGCCCTTCCAAAGCGCTTTCTAGTCTCAGATCCACTGCTGAGAAACCAAGCCTGACTCTGGGCTCCTCCAGGGACCGTGAGCGTCCTGCTCTATCAGAATCCGTGTCTGCAGTGGAGACTGTAGCAGAGAACCTCACAGACGCTACAGAATTCAGCCCTGCGCCTCTCATTCCTAAGGTCAGCCTGGACTTGGCGCTTGAGGGCAGCTGGGAAGGGAAAGGCTCCAGAACCATAGGAGACACTGGCTTTCCTCAAAGAGGGAGGGTTCGGGCCACTGGATGCACGGGGTAAGACGGGGTGTGCCAACCACGATGCCGCTTTGAGCTCATCAGTGTGCGGTGACCAGGGTGGGAGTCACCCACTAAAGAGCAGCTACGGCTGACAGCTGTTTCCCTAGCACTGGCTTGAAGCGACACTAAATTTCTCCTTCAACCTCGCTCTGTAGAACAGTTTAACAGGCATTTATTATGTGTCCATGCCGTGCTGGGGCTGCTCGAGGTTCAGGCATGCAGAGGTGCTAAGACTTGGTCCTTGGCTTCAAGGACCCATCGACCTTCTCTCCACTTTACAAGGAAGGAAGGGCATGTGCCCCTCCTGAACCCCTCACCGCATCCACGAAGTCACCACATGGCTACATCTTTCCTCAAGCGTGCCCAGTCAGTGTGGCCTCGTCTAACAGATTCAGGGATCGGGGAGCTCTGCCCATGGCTCGGGAAGGGAAAATAAGGGCCAGGGCCAGGAGACAGTGACCCAAGTGCCACTGTGGGTGAGGAAAGGAAGGAGGAGAGAAGACTTCAGAAGTTCAGCCCACCTTGCTTGGGCTCAGAGGAACAACCTAAGACATCTGCCACATGAACCCTTAAACCTCTCCAGGGGAGCTTCCTTCCCATCAGCCAGGACTTTCTGCCGGATCACAAAACCTCTGGAGTCAGGAAATTCGCTCCCCAAATCTCATCCCTGTGTCTGCCACCCCTGCCCACTTCCAGTTCTGCTCCAGGGAGGGGAAGTCCCCCGTCCAAGAGATAGCAGAGAAGTTTCAGAGGCTGGGTGCTCTGGGACAATGCCCTGCTCAGGAAACCTCTGGGCACTTTGCACAGCGCAGCACATAACCCGTGAGGGTGGTGGCAACCAAGGCATGCCATAAATAGCCCTGACTCACTGCTACTTTTCCCCATTTCTAAACCACAGACCATGGGGAAGCGGAAATGCAGGAGGCTACAGTGAGGTGCTGGAAGCCGCAGCCAGCTGCCTGCAAGGCCTTCACTGGAGTTTCTCAGTGGCCGGCCTGTGACAACTCGGGACATCCCAAGGCTGGACAGGAGCAGCAGGCACAGCACGTGTGGCCACAGACTTGTCCTCTGTTGTCCCTGCCTCTGTCTCTGCCCCTTTTCCTTAAGGAAATCGCTTAAACTCCAGTGTTGAGTTGGCTCATCCAACCCAAAATGTTGACACTTCTAGAGTCCTCCCACCTAAACCTCTCTTCAAATATGTCGGTTCCTTCACAGCCTCTCCCAGCTCCTATTTTCCTGCTTCTGCCAAGACCAAATACATTTTAGTCTGCAAACACTTTTCCTTAAAAATCAGAATATCCACCAACCCTCATCCCTCTGGAATGTCCACCTCGCTTTCAAGTCCCAGCCCTCCTATCCAACCAAATATCTTCTGCCAAGACAGTGCCTTTTTAAAACCGAGTTCAAGGGCACCGGCTCCAGAAAGCATCCTCAGCTGGGCCGGCCCTCGACCCTGAATCCCTGACCTCAGTGAGACCCCACCTCCTGCCTTGGAAGGGAAGGTCCCAGCTGCACATCCTCGCTCAGCCTGACCACACTGGGCCTCAGCGAGTGTCCTCAGAGCCATAACAACAACAAAAGAGCGAGCACATTCTGGCCACCCAAGGGACCACTCGAAGGAACCGAGGCCAAGCCTGGTGCCGGGAATCTATCAGAGCAGGCGGGTGTAGATCGACTCCTCCGCTTTGCAGGACTTTAACCTGGAGTCTAAAGAGGCCAGGCTGAAGTTCCAGCCTTTCACACACATGGGCACCCACAGTCTCACACATGCGGGACACAAGGTGGGAGCAGACACGGGACATGTCCAGGTCTGGGACCTGCCAGAGCCTAGGGAAGAGCCAACTCCCCGCCCCAGGCCTTGCTGGGAGATGGACCTGCAGCTACCTCCGCCAGAGCTTATCAAAACATCCCAAACAGAACTACGCAAAGACAGCACTCGGGAAGGGACATGGATGGGCAGGGCGGGCCAGCACGTGGGGTGGCAGGCGGAGGGAGGAGGGGAGGGGACACCCACCACAGAAGCCGGGCTCCCGCCACCCGATGTGCACGCCCCGCCCGGCGCAGGCTGCAGCGTAGCTGGCCACGGCGCTGCACAGGCAGTCCTGGCCGTCGGAGCAGGAGCAGACGTCATAGCGGCAGTTCTGCAGGTAGGGCAGAGGGCTCACGGCTCCGTGGCAGGCCTCAAACTTGGAAGACGTCAGCAGTGCACAGGCCTCCTCTGCGAACCCGGCTGTGGGAGAGAGGGGAGCATGTCAGGATGGACAGGAACAACCACAGGGGCCGCTGACACCCGGGTCTAGGAGAAGCAACAGCTCCCACTGTGTCTGACCCCCGTGTTCACTGTGGGCCAAAAAGCAGCTCTTGGCTCTGGGGGTCATCACTTATCTTCAGCAGCCCATTTCTTTCCCTAAATACATGTGGCTCAGATGCATAGTAAACTGCGTCCCTGAAGAAGGACCATGGACAGAGGGGTCAAAGCGGCCAGGGGCGGCCTGGGTAGGCCAGGACACTGAGGCAGGGCTGAAACGCTGCGGAAGATAAACTTGCACGGGGCCACCCTGCTGCTGTGGACTCGGGGACTCAGGGAGGGAGCTGCCCCATACTGTCCTTTGCTTCCTCACACTGGGAGCCTGAATGACCGGCTGCAGGCACCGGACCTGCTGCTGGGCGGGGAGCTGGGCTGCAGGGCACACACCCAGCCGCGGGTTGAGGGAGCAGGGGTCACTGGGCTGCCTCTGCAGGTCCCTGCAGTCCCAGTGCAGCTTCCAGGCGTTCCCGAAGTCTGCCACCAGCAGCTCCGCCAGCCCCGAGGGGGTGAGGAAGTCGTCGCCCTTGTTGCCGTTGTAATTCCCACACAAGCCACAGGTCCTCCCGGCGTAGGCAGGCGACAGCTGCGGAGAGGACAGAGCAGCTGCTGCCCAGGCAGACCCCAGCTTGATTTTGTTTAATGGAAGAAGTTCCCCAGCAGTGAAAATACAGCAGCTGGAGCCCTGGGCTGCAGACCTGGGGGCCGGGGCCGCATTGCACACCCACCCATGCCTCAGCTCGGCCTTGCTCCACCGGCACTGCTCCTCACCCCACCTCAGGGCCCAAGGAGGCTCCCACCCCAAGTGCACCGGGGACAGACACAGTGAGTGGAGCCTGCCCTGGGGGCACCTGCTGCTTTCTTCTGCAGGCTCCTAATGTAAACCGGGCTGGACCCAAGAGTCCTGACCTGTGCAGAATTAACTCGGTGACGCCTGCTCTGTGTTCTGAGCCTCAAGGGCGAGGCCTGGGCCCCTGAGTCATCGTGAGCCCAGCCAGCTTCCAGCTGCGACTTGCAAGGTGCATGAGGCACCATGCAGTGGAAGTTTCCAGCCCCAAATAAAATGTGCCCAAGTAAACATCCTGACTAAGACGGGGACCCGGAGACGCTTCCGTGTTTGCTTTACAGATGTCCAGCTCTGGAACGTCAAGCACGCAGGCCTTTCCTGACCTCCCTATCCAGAATTTAATCCCCCAAGTCCTGGCACTCCCTGACCCTTCTCTGCTTTCTCTCTCTCCCAGGATCTAGTCTAATCTAGGATATCATCCACTTGCTCACTGTGTTTATTTTCTGTCTAAATGAGACACAGGTATGGGCCTGTTTTGTCTCACCTCGAACCCTCAGCATCTAGAAAGTGTCTTCATCTGCTCAGGCTATGATGACAAAGCAGCCCTGGGTGGGTGACTTACCAACCATAGAACCCTTTTCTCACAGTTCTCGGGGCTGGGAAGCCCAAGATCCAGGCCTGAGCAGACTCTGGTGAGGGGCCCTCTTCCGGGTTCTAAAATGGTACCCTCGGGCTGCTCTCAGGGAGGCAGAGCTGGCTGGCTCTCTGGGCCCCTTGTACAAGATCCTGATCCCAATCCTGTTCACAGGGCAGAGCCCTACGCCCTCCCAAAGCCTCCTAATGCATTGCCTTGAGGGGTTGGGATTCCAGCCTATGAATTTGGGGCCCACAGTAGCACTAGTGGGCACTCAATAAATGCTGAGCGAATGAGTTGTGGAACAAATGAATAAATCCATTAGTGTACACACAGGTCCCTTCAGACACAGGCTGAAGCTCAAGGCCAGCAAGTGAGGCCAGCCTGGGCCAAGGGGCAAAACGGTGATGGGCCTGTCTTCCCCTCCCCCACTTCACCTGTCTCTCTTCTCTCTCCTCCTCAGATACACTGGGTGGCCTCGGGCTCCCCAAAGTCCCCCTTGTTCACTACCCCACTCTCACACCTGTAATCATGCCTGTGATCCCAGCACTCTGGGAGGCTGAGGCAGGAAGATGGTGAGTTAGAACTTAGTCTGGGCAGTGACTTAGAGAGACCTTGTTTCAAAAAGTAATAAGTCACAAAGTCTGGTAGTGCTCAGTGTGAAGGCCCTGTATTCAAATCCCCAACACCAAAACAAAAATAAGTCTCCCTCCACCCCTTGGCTGGTCTCAGAGTTCAGCACGGCCAGGGGTCAGAAGGGCGATGTGTCTGGGACACCAGGCTGTGGCTGATCCACAGCCCTGCCGCACCCGGGCTCTGGACACTTCAGAAGTCACTTGCTATCTGAACCAGCCTGGCTCGGTGACAGTTCTGACCAGCTGAGTAGGAAGCAGAACGTACAGCTTCCCCTGACGGAGCCCAGCTGCCCGGATAGCACAGGCTGCTCCGGGGCAAGGAGAACAGATGCCCTGCATCTGCGTTCCCTGCTCCATACCGGAGCTACAGGGCAGCCCCACAGCCATGGGCTCACGAGACTCCATCCTGACCCTCGACTGAATCCAAGCCCTGCATCCATCCCCACAGGAAGCCATCAGCTCTTCCTCCTGGAGGAAAAACTGAGGCAGAGAACCAAGGACAGCGGGCAGCTGACTGGGCTCGAGGGCGCATACACCAGGACCCCCACTGGGCAGGGAGGAGGCAGGGAGCGTGGGGCTGGCAGGGGACAAAGAGCGCCAGACGCAGGGACCAGGGCCCCCAGCTGGGTAACCTGAGACCCTGAGAGCCGGCAAGTCGCTCTGCCTCCGGAAACCATGGGTCTCGGTTTAAAGGACCTCCCCATCCCCCTGCTCCATGCCCTGGCTGCAAGGTTATTTTTCATGTAAGAAGAGGCAAGAGGGTTACATGGAGACTCTTTGAGAGCTCTAAGGAAGAGAGAAAGAACAGACCACAAGTGTGTTGGAAACAGGATCTCATCCGGGACCTCCAACACCCACCACAGCGCCTCAGCAGGACCCCCGGAGCAGGGGCCCCTGATGGTGCCCCAAGACCAGCAGTGGTGCCCAGAGGGGTGGCCTCAGGAGGAAACCACTTTCCTATGACAATGTAGTCATTATCGCTTTTTGCCTTCTCTTCCCTTAGGAGGACACAGTGGAATTTTCCAGAGGCTCCATGCCAGGCAGCACCTCCGGCGACAGACTGCAGGAGACTCCAGGGCCCAGCTGCCTCCTGCTGAGCCCATCCTTAAAGAGCTTTGCAGCAATGGATGCAACGGTATTCTTCTAAAGATTGAGTTGTTTTGGAAAACATAGTTATTTCCACCCCCAAGAAGAAAAAGCTGTTTATATTACTGTATACTAGGCTTAGTATTGCACTTTTAAATGAGTTAATAAACGCATGTTTTCAAGTCTCTGATGCCATTTCTCATCTGGTGACTATCAATGGATACAACCTCATTACAGAGCCTGAAGCCTCAGCGATGTGTAAGAATGCAACCAAATCCTGAGACCAAAAAGCAAGAAGTCTAACGGAAGCCCTGGTCAGAGCTACTCCCTGCTCAGCTGTGACTACGGATGGACTGCTGAAGACTCGACTTCTCCATGCTTTAGCTGCCTCCCTTATAAGTTGGATAACAAGCCTATAACCTCGGCACTCAGGAGGCTGAGGCAGGAGGATCACTGTGAGTTCAAGGCCAGCCTGGGCTACATAGCAAGACCCTGTCTCAAAAAAGAGAAAGAGAGGGGCCAGGCATTTAGCTCAGTGGCACCACACCTGCCTTGCAAGCACAAGGTCCTGAGTTCAATCCCTGGTACCAAAAAAAAAGAGAGAGAGAGAGAATAAGACGGATGGCACTAGTAACACCTGCATGGCCACCTTCCAGGGACTTTTTGAGAGAGAGAAACAATGAAAATATAACCCAGTGAGATGTGTGGGTGGCTAGCTAGTGGAACTCAAAGACCCCTAAGAACAGGAGGAAGCGCTCACAGACGGACGGCCCAGCGGCTCCCCGTAACCTCTCATAGGTGGCCGAGGGCCGCTTTGCACATGGGAATCAGGACATGGGGTCTGGACTGCAAGCGCCAACCTGGCCCTTCCCCGCTGCCCACGGTGGTGCCGGGCCCAGGTGCAGCCGGGGATTCCGGCAAATCTGCCCCCTTGTCAGCCCCACCAGGACCCAGATGCCTGGCTCGGGCCTCCCAAAGCCCAGAAGGGAGGATCCCCGGGGCCAACGGGGCGTCCAGAAATGAGCGCCAGCTCCTAGCAAACAAGAGGGGCCTGTTTCTGCTCCTGGGGGTGCAGCGCCTGAGGAGAAAGGAATTCTTCTCTCGCCACACAAAGCCTTTCTGCCCGAGCACAAGGGCGCTTTGTGAGGGCTGGGCCCCGGGACCGCGGGCGGAGCGGACCCACCTTCAGCAGCAGCCTCCCGCGGCCATCCCAGTCCATCTGCAGGTCCTCGCCGTAGCTGAGGCGCACGGAGCCCGTCACCGAGTGCTGGATGCGAAGGTCACCTGCGGCCCCGCAGGACAGATTCAGCTGGGGTGGGGCCGGGTGGCAGGCAGAGGGGTCGAGGGGAGAGACGAGGGGGTGCCTCAAAGGACTATGGAAATGACCAATAGAGGCAGATGGGGTGTCCGAGAAACAGGGCGTCTCGGGAGAAAGAGTGAGGGGGGACAGGAGCTAAGGGTTCCCCAAGAAGGAGCCTCGCTGGCCTGCATAAACTGTCGTTCCCCTCACTGCCACAAGAGGGCAGCAGAGGTTCCCGCAGCCCTCGCTAGCAACCCGAGGCCCAGTGCACCGCTGGGCTCCAGGAGCCCGGGCCCCAGCTCTACACGCAGCTGCCAGGCTGGACTGCTCAGTGCTCGGGGCTGGGCGACGCTGGGTGCAGAGCTGCTGTGGGGCGGAGAGGACCACCTAGCAGCATGTGCCCGGCCCCGGAGGAACACACTGGTGCAGAGACGCAGCACCACGCACACACACACGCTCACCACCCGAGCCCACCACGGTGCGCAGAGCGAGGGGACGCCCGAGACACTGCACATGCGGCCCCGCTTCGGCCCCCTTCGGTAGCTGCCGGCCCGCCCTCCACTGCTTTCCCACCCCAAGCATAACAGAACCTCCCTGCCTCAGCCTCAGCACGCTCAAGGCAACCTCAGTGGCCCGGCCGCCCTGTCCCCGTCCCGGGAAGGAAGGCCCGGGCCGCGTGGAGGAGGCGGCCGGGGGCGGCTCACCTTGCCGGAGCGGGAGCTGGACGTCCTGGCCTTCCACGGCGACTCCGCCTCCGTGCTTCAGCTTCACGAGGCTGCGGGCCGGGGCGCCCAGGCGCGCGGTGACGGAGCGGGTGCAGACGGCGTCCGGGTCCTCAGCACACTGTCGGGGACGTGGGCGACTCGCCACAGCCCTTCCAGCCGGCACCAGCCCAGACCCAGGCTCACCCGCTCCCTCCATCCGGCCTGGCCGGTACACCGACACAGGCTCATCTTAGCCCCACTGACGCCACTACACGGGGCGCTTGACCCGGGGGAGGCCCCGCAGAGAAGGGTGCACGGGACACCAGGGGCTCCAGAAAGGAGAAGGGTCCTCCCTGCCCCAGGGGTACCCACTCCACACGTGGGACCAGCGCTGAAGTGGGGGACGCTCCTGGTGGGTGCTGGGTGGGTGTGGGTAGGGCAGGGCCTTGTCCCAGCCAGGAGGGAGCAAGGGACAGGCCAGTTTCCATGAAGGAAGCCCCTGCAGTCTGGAGGAGGGGCTCCCCGCGCTGCCCTCTCCCCGCCTTGGCTGCAGGCGGCCAAACTCACCTGCACCGTCTCTATGACAACGGAGAAGGTGTGGTCCTGGCAGTCCCGGGCCAGCAGGTACTGGCAGATCCCACTGAAGGTGAAGTGCCTGCCATCGAAGCTCTTGAAGTGGGACTGGCCAGTGACGAGACACTCCCCTGGGTTACACAGGGCGGGGAGCAGGGGAAGGGGAGCCTGCTAGTGATGGGGTGACATGCTTACCCAAGCAGGGAGCCTGTCCCCAAATGTCACAGGCGTCTGCTCCCACACCAGTCCAAGCCAAGTTCTAGGCAAGGATTCTAAGCCCGTCCCAGGTCAGTGCCTTGTTTTACAGATGGGGCAACCAAGATGGACAGAGCCACGCCCAGTCCACTGCAGAGCCCTGGCCAGAACCCGTGCTCCTGACCCTCATTCCCTCCACAGCCTGCTGCCACGGATCCCGAGCCTCCCTGCTCTGTGCCACGATAGCCATGGGTGGCATCTTGGAGCCTGGGCAGTGCCCGCCCCCGAGGTGGCACATGGAGGGGTCAGGAGCCCAGCCACACCCAGGAGGAAGCGTGAAGCCTGGTGGGCAGCCAGAGGCATGGAAGGGGCAGGTGGCCGCACAGCACTCCGCAGAGGCCGCCTCATAGCCCATGTTGTGACTCTGGTGGGGCCCACGGGGACTCCCTGCGTCTGCCCAGGCAGTGCCGACTGCTGAGGGCCAACGCCCCAACCTGGGCCGATTCCATCTTCAGGGCCCACAGTGAACACACTGAGGCTGAAACAGGCATCTGGATCCCTGGCCAACCTTGCTCTGCGCACTTCCTCCAACGACTCTCATCCCTGCGTCTCTTCTGAACGCACACCCACACCTCGTCCCCCCACCAAGGGCCTCCTCCTTCCCACTGCCCGCCCTACAGATAGCAGAGGGGGGCTGACCTCTGCCCAGCCAGGAAGGCCACGGAGCCAATGCGGGCCACCATACGCCCAGGGGCTCCCCAGGGGCACAGCAAGCCCGGGTGCCCTCTGTCAGGGACACCAGCAGTGCCACCGGAAAGCTCTCGGATGGCCATTTCTCAGAAATCACCGCCGAGGGACAAATGCCACATGTCTGGACCTCCCTGCAGTAAGACAGGTGGAAACACCCCCAGCCTCTCCCTGCTTTCTCAAGCTCGCTCTTATCTGAATAAGAAGTTGGACTTCCATCACCCTGGACAATGCCCGGGAAGAGGGGTTAACAAGAAAAATGTGCGAATATTCGAAAGCAAGATGTTCAGGGCCAAAATCTAATCCTCTGATCTGAGTTCCTGCTCTAAATCTCAGATTTATTTCTCAGGAATCAAAAGTCTAAATATTATTTTCAGCTTATCTCCTGGGTACAACTGGGAGACGGAGCAAACACAGGAAACCTGGGGGGACGGAGGGGTGCACTGCGGGGCAGTGCTGGCCACGGGGGCAGGGACGTCCACCCACCTACAGCCACACGGCCGGGCTCGCCCTCCTCCTCGCCCTCCTGCACCTTGGAACGGGCAGCAGCAAAAGGTGCCACTGACAAACAGCACCAGACACAAACCTGGGCTCCCCAAGTTTGGCAAGGAAGGAAAGCAGGTGATTCTTACAAGCACACACGGAGAACAGCCCCGGAAGCTAAAGCAGATCCACTCCCACGTGGATTAAGAGCCTCCTTCCGGCCGGAAGCTCTTTTCCACAGCAGCGTGTGAGCTCCGGGGGCTGCTCTTTAGCCTTTCCTGGGGAAACCAGCACACAGGCCTTTAGCAAGCGCCTCAGACCCCAGACCTCGGCCTCCACCCAAGCCTGCCCCTGAAGCACAGAACACAGTGGCCACCAGCAGCAGCCCTGGTGGCGTGGATGCCAGGACCTGCCCACTCTCACCCCAGCTCACTCCCTCTCGTGCTGAGGAAGGTGGCAACCGCCCACAGGACAGCAACCATCTCACACTGCCATGGGGCGAAGCTGCTGTTGGCGCCCGTTTCACGGACTAGGAAACTAAGGCTGAGAATCATTCAGTAGCTGGCCCAGAGTCACCAGCTAGCCTGCATCCTCGGTCCCCCATTCTGGGCCCCCTTTGCGTGAGATCTTGGACAAAATGGAAAGTTCTTTGCCTACCTGTCCCTTGCTCTGCAAAGTGCCTGCCACGCTCTCCCACCGGGAGCTTGTCTTTATTTTATTCATTGATCTGGGCCTTGTGGCTGCTGCTGATTTGATTCTGGGGTCAGAACCAAAGCCTTGTACAGGCTTGGCAAGGCCTGTGCCTCTGAGCTAGGCCTGCAGCCCCTCGGGCCACGGTTTCTGTGACAAGGGCTTTCTTCACTTGAGGAACAGTCAGGGGCGTGCTCCACCCACCCTGCCCCTAACCATGCTGTCCTAGCTGGGTGGGAGCCAACTGGCTAGGGGCTGGTAGGTCCCCAAGGCTTCACTGGTGTCAAGGAACTGGCCCCCAGCCTGGGAAGCGGGAAGAGAAGGAGCTCGGCCCGTCTGTCCCCAGGCTGTGCTCCTGAGGGGCACCCGGGGACCGTCCTCCCAGGCTCTGCCTCTGCCTCCACACTCAGCCACCCTGCACCATGGAGGCCCAAACGGATGGGGCCACCTGGTCTTGGACTTGCACCTCCAGCGCCACAAACCAAAGGAGTCAAGAGTAAGCTTCTCCTCACCACAACAGCCAGTGTGGGCAATTTTACTGCTGCCCTAAACTCTCGCCCCTGAGGATAGGTGTTCGGGGAGCGAGTCATGGGAAGGCCCCACCACGCCCCAGCACAGATGGCCCCAGGCACTTCCTCCTGATGCCCACAGGCAGCACTCAGCACTGGGTACCCTTGGAGGTGACCCCCCACACTCCCATCTCCTATATGGCTGGAAAGGTCCTGTGTGACCCTAAACCCTGAACCCATAGACTTCAAACACGGCCCCAACTATCCAAACTCAGTCCCCTCCTGGCCCCGCAGACTAAGACCTGGAAAGGGAAGGCCAGGTACAGGTCTGGCAGCGAGTGTGAGTCTGCCCTCTGCCCCTCAGCCGCAGTGTGGCTGGGCCAGTTGCTAGGGCCTTGCCTGCATGTGCTTCCTCTTTTTCAAGGCGAGGACGAGCCGTACTGACCTCATAGGCCGTAACAATGAGAGTCACGTGCCAAAGCTTCTCACCTCCCAGCACCTCTCAAACATCACGCAGGTGCGCTCGATGAGGAAGGTCTAGGCCCCGGGGATGGGCAGGGAGAGCTTGGAATGGGCAGCAATCAGAACAGAGGAGGTCAAGCGAGGAAGAGTGAAGGGCAGAGGTCACAAAACCACTTTTCCTACACGGATTTTCCAGAGAAGGAGGGTGGAGAATCACGTGGTGGCCTGGTCCTCCGAGCTCTTGAATCACGCCACTGTCTGCATCTCGTGTTCCAGAAAATTCCACTGAAACTCTCACTTCAAGCCTAGAGTCAGCTGCACCTTCCTCCTCCCTGGCACGGGCCTCGGTTAGAGGACAGGCCTGCCCCCAGGGTAGGGAAGAGCAAGGGGCCGCCCACCTGGGCATCCTTCATTGCTGCAGATCCACAGGCTGTTCCGGCAGATGCTGTCGGGAGAGAAGCACAGGTCATTGGCAGCTCTGAGAAGATGAGGGCCTGCGAGTGAATTAGTCACCCAGACGTCACAGCCTGAGTCGGAGGGAAGAGGTAGCCAGAGCTACAGGAGACATTCAGGTGTCAAAAGCTGTACAGGACCCAGGAAAGTCTGGGGCGCTCCGGGCCTCAGCAGGGACAGGTCCTGGCTGGCCAGGCACGGCAGGAGCCGCAGGGTGGACCTGCCGAGTCTCCTCTAGGCACTGCTGCTTCCCCCTCCTGGGAGAGAAGAGATTTCGAGGCTGTTTGGGGCTGGTATACAGCTGTCTTTGGCGGGAGGACGGTCGACTAACATGGCTTGGAGAGACCGTGATGCTGCTTGCACAAAAAGCACCTGCCCCGCGCCCGCCCAGCTCCGTGTGTGTGTGTGTGCACGTGCGTGTGTCTGTACGTGCGTCTGTGCATGCCCATGCGTGCATCTGTGCGTGCGTGGGTGGGCGTGTGTGCTGTAATTCTTGGACTCCATCGCTCCCCTGCACACCTGTCCCAAACCCCTCCCCAGCCCTGGCTCAGCCCCCAGCTTCCCCTCCCAAAGCCCGAGCAGCCCCCCAGGCCACATCGCCCAATTACCAGGTGTTGCAGTCCTGAGAGAGGGAGGCCCCCGGCGGGTACCGCTTCCCGGCGTGCACACAGGGGCACCCAGCGCTGTCCACGCAATGGCCTTCGTCCAGGAGCTGTGCCTCTGGGGGCAGGACATCGAGGCAAAGCTCTCTACGTTGTCACCATCGTCGTTACTCACCTCACAGCTATGGAAGCTCCAGCTTCCAGTTAGGGCTTCCAGGAAGCTCTGAGAGTAGGTTCCGAGATGCTTATCCTTCCCTACAGCGAAGCTTGGGGTAGGGAGAGTAGCGCTCCCACGGAAAGGCTATGAGTCTCAGTAAAGGGACGGGCAGTTCAAGCTGTCTTCTAGGGAGGCCAGGAGTCCGGGCTCAGGACTTCCTTCCAGAAGCTCAAAGACCTTGTTGTGTGGGCAGTGTGGGAAACGGAAAGAGCCCTTGTCCCTGTTCCCCAGCGAAGAGACAGAGCCCAGAGCTGTGCCCAAGGCCGTGCGGCAGACACAGGCTCCTCTGTGGTCACGCAGGGCCCGGGGCCACACGAGCAAGGCCTCCTAGAGATGCTCTAGTACAAAGCCCCTTCAGCTGAGTGCACGTGGGAGCCCAGGAAACACTTTCTAAGACTTCTGTCCCAGCCTGATTCCCTGACCCCTAACTGAGGAGACTCAGATAGGCTCAGACGGGGCCGCACGCCCACCGAGTCCACCCCTGGCTCCTGAGACACAAGTGTCTTCATGGATACAGTGCAACGGAAAACACAAATTAGAAATAAAGACCAGCTCGGTCCTAATCACTCTGTACAAAGACTTTTAAAAGCCAAATAAAAGGCTTCTGATTCCAGCAAGAAGGAATCAACATAGTGGCCTTCATCTCCCTCCCCAACACCAGAGGCCCTGGCGAGGTCTGGGTTTGTAAGCAAAGTGGGAAGTTTGTTACCCGGGCAGCTGCACCCATCCACACACTGCTCCTGACACACTTCGTTGACGTGCAGACTCTGGCAGGTCCTGGCGCAAGGGGACACACACTCCTTATACTCCATGCCGGCAGGGCAGGCTGGGCCTGAAAGAGAAGCAAGGAGCCTCCCCAGTGCGGACCCCATGGCCTCCTCTGTCTTCAACAGCTCTACCCCACTGCGGCTCTGGAGGCCCCCTCTCCCCTGAGCTGCACCCCCGCCTCCCGAGGCCCTGGCTCGGACCCTGAGGGTCGCTGGGACCCAGCCCTCCCCTCGGTCATCCATTCCCCACGGACACTTGGCATTATTTGCCCCTCTGAGCTCTATCCCCTTCACCTAAAACCCAGTCCTCCAGGGCAAAAAGTAGGGGCTTCTGGAGCCCAGCAAGGAGCTGGTGGATCCTCCATCGATACCTGCTCCCCAAGGAACTGGTCCAGTCAAACGTCCCCTCCTTCCCAAACACAGGGCACACCTGTTCACGTCCACTTTGCCTACAGGTGACGCTCACTCTGTACGTACCCCTCCCAGGGCTGCAGGGCTGCCCTGGGAACTTAGGGCTAAGCATCTCTGCTGTCCGAACTGGACCAGTGCCCCATGGGCGGCTCTGCCCCAAGCCCTTCTCCAAGGTCCACGGAGGTCTCCTCCACCCTGCCTTCAAGGACCAGTGCCTCCCCATCCAGAGGAGAAGCCAGCTGCTAACCTGCACTTCGCACTTCGCACACCCCCACAGGCCGGGCCACAAGCTCTAATCTCAAAGGCGCTGGCCGCACCCTGAGCCCACGTGTGTGGGGTTGCTATCCACAGCTCCTCTGCCCATCAGCCCCGGTGCCTGCGTAATTACTGCAGGGCGGCAGTCCAACCGCCCCACTTCTGATCAGCCTGGGGCAGGAGGGGTCTCTTGCCTGGTGACGGGGGCCCTGCTTAATCAGAACTCAGGATGTAACAAAGACCAAGAGCGATGAGACTAAAAGATAGCAAGCAGGTGTCAGGCGCAAGGGAGGACAGGGGCTGAGTTACTGAAGGGGGAACTCGATGAGGGCCGCATGGACGGGTGGCTCCGCAGCTCCTGCTCCTCCCTACTCAGGCAGGCGGCCCTGAGCTCAAAGCTGCTGAGGTTCCCATCCTGAGGGAGTTATGGGGTGTGGCATGGACAAGAGGTGGGGACAGCACGGGGGACCTGAGAAGTCCTGTCCGGCCCCACACAGCCCGCAAGGGTCCCCTCTGCAGGCCAGCGCTCATAAGACCAGGCGGCAGAGGGAGCAGCCATTCAGGAAGCGGCCTGGGACACCCCCCACCCATGGGGACCGGCTGCGCAGTGCGGGACACAGCCCCAAGTGCCTCCCCACAGGACTGGCGTGGCCAGGAGGCGCAGCACTCACGGCAGGCGCTGTGGTCCGTCCAGCCATCCAGCACAGTCCCCTCCTGTGCACAGGCCCGGGCGTACTCCAGCAGGGCAGGGCAGGCGCACGCCGGCCCCAGGGCACAGGGGCACAGACTCCTCTCGCACAGGGCCACGAAGGGCTCGGGGTCCACCAGCGGGTGGCAGCGGGCAAACACCGAGGCACTCTTCAGCAGCTGGCACTGCTCCCTCTGGGCCTGCAGGGAGAGCTCACCTCAGGGGGCGCGGAGAGGGTGCGGGTGCTGCCTCCCTGAGGGCAGTGTCCAGGGGGTGCCCTGTGAAAAGCCGCAGTGTCCCTTCAGGACCTGGACGGTAGCCGGCACCTGGCCTGAGCTCACCAACGTGTGTCCAGTCAGCCAGCCCGTGGGGCCAGGAGGGGCGGGGCGGGCACTGTGTGAGGTGGATGGGACCCGGGGCGACACCCTGGGCTCCTGCGCTGAAGTGAGTATGGGAGAGAGGGCGAGGGAGAGAGGGGAAGAGAGCGCCACGCCGGCCTTGACTTGGCCTTGACCCTGCCCTAGACCTCCTTCCCTGTAAGTGAGGGGTGACGCAGGGATTCAGACAACAGTCTGGGCCTCACCCCAGAAATCCGAAGTCAGAGACTTAGGGGAGGGTTCGGGACTCTGTTTCTTCACACACCCGGGGCGGCTGCTGGGACCAGACTGGGCCAGTTTCCATCCGCAGCAAGGTGCTGGGTTCCCTGAAATGTCTCCCACACACCATGCCGGGCAGGGCTCCTCTGGACTCTTTGCTCTGCTGACAGCTTCAACTAAAACGCTAGGCAGTTTGGAGTCATCATCTGCTTCTTCTGCTAACCATTTGCAGAAACACTCCTACGTGTTTTCTTACAAACAGTAAGAACATCCCTACAGTCTATGCTTTAATGCTTCCAAATGCCCTTTCCTTCTCCACATTCAACGTCCCTGAAGTCGAGGTGCATCTTCCACAGGTAGCACACATTACTTAACAGGCAGCTTATCTCTCTTTCTTAGTGATACACAGAACAGCCATGTGTATGAAAATCAGTGATGTCTTAGATTTGACACATTATAAGATTATCTACATAAATGACCCCACAACTTCAAGTACCGGTATCATTTCTTTCAGGCATCTGCATGCTTTACTGGAAGCCAGCAGTTAGTGAAAGAACTTACAACCTCCAGATGAAAAATAAAGTACAAGTGTCCAGATGGAAGGTCTGAGCCCAGAAGGTTGAACCGCAGCCCATCTGTGTTAGTAAAACCGATAAGGAAAGGGGGAAGGGGTACGGTGTGGGGACTGGGGGTGCAGCCTAATTGTAGAGCACCTGCCTGGACAGTTAAGGGACCGAGTTCCCTCCCCAGTACCACAACCAGAAATAGTATCAGTTCTGAGGAAAGGGAAACCCAGTCTGTTCAAAGCACAGCAGGGACCACCAGAGCCCATGTAGCAAGCGCCGGGAGCCAGGCCCAGGCCTCTTCGTATGGCACAGGAGGAGCCAGGAGGAATGGGAACTCGATCTGGCCTCTCTCGATCCTCAGGATCCAGCTAGGCTATGCCAGGGACATTCTGTGGTCCTAGCAAAATCCGTGTCCTGCCACAGCAGCCAGCAGGGTCCCGCCCCTCATCTGGCCTGCGGAGTCTTCGTCAGGACAGGCAAGCAGCGAAGAACGCCGCTGTCATGGCTGCAGCCCAACCACAGCAGGCCCTGGGCCACCCAGTGGGGAGCTGCAGGGGGCAGCGGGGCAGGGCTGGCTCCCTCTGGGCGCCAGACAGGCTGGACTGCAAGACTGCAGCAGGCAGGCCCGGAGACAGGCAGCCCTGCTCCCCCCACCGCTCCAACTCCCTCAGTCGGGCCACACCCCATGAGGCTGTCAGAAAGCAGAAGCCAGCGCCCAGCTCCGCTCTCACCGGAGGTGGGGACTTGAGCTACTCCGTTCATCTCCTGGAGAGGGTTGTCTTCAAACAAAGAGGGGAGAACGGCCACACCTGCACACCTCCCAGGTTGGTGTGAAGATGACATCCATGAACAAGACAATTAGGTCTTCAGAGCTCACAAGTCCCCCGTCGGTTACCCCAGCACTGAAATGGTGAGCAGGTCCCTGAGGACAGAAGGACCCGTTGGCCCCTTTCCCATCGCCATCTCCCTGGGCCGCCCTGGGATGAATGGTTGCCATGGTGACATTAGCACTGTCCTGGCACCTTGGATGCTCTGTGATGAGTAGCAGGGCTGCTTTAGTTTATCATTTATTAGAGATATTCACGCTCCTCTAAGACAAAGTGTCAGGAGGTTCAGAACTTCTCTTCTGAAATAGGGACATGCAAGAGGCTCCACCCTCCCTGGCAAGTTGAGGCTCAGGCAGGAGGCTGAGACCTGGGTCTGTTTCCTTCCAGCCTCCATATTGCCAGGAATACCCAATGCCACTCAGGAAATGAGGTCACCAAACTCTCAGAGAGCAGCCAAGGTGTCCCATGGGGGCCAGTTGCTCAGCCCCTTGCCTACCTCTTTCCTCACCCATGAGCTAGAACTACAGAAAAACAAAAAAAAGGCACCCCCATGGGGTTTTCCAGGAACTGCCTCCAGAGCAGTCCCCAAACCACAGGCCCAGCTCCTGCAGGTATGGGGACCAGGAGCTAGAGGTTCTCTCCAGGGGGGACAGTTTCAGCCAGACTCTCCTTCCAAACAGCCCCACAATCTGCTCCCTCCTTGCCCAGAGCCACAGCCAGGCCGGGGAGCTTGGGCTTTCTGTAGCTGGTCCAGCTTGGTCTCCTCCCAGCTCTCAGGGAAAATGGATACAGCACTGGCACGCGTTTCCTGGAGCGCCTCGGAGGTGTCACGTGGTTTATAGAAAGCCTTAGCAAGAAGGGTGTTTCCTGACTACTTCCATGAGGGACGGAAGTGATTTCTGCAGAACCAGCCACCTCCCTTCTTAGAGCAATTCCTTTGCCTCTGCCGTGCATACCTGAAATCAGCTAGGGTTTCTCTCTCACAGAAGCAAGAGGAACTCTGCCCTCACCTTGTTCTCCGGACTCCTGTGGTCAGCCCTGGCCTGCACTCAGTCCACAAGAGCGACCACAGTCTGAGAGCCAGGCAGGAGTGGCACACATCTGCCCTCACCCAGCAGCTGCACTGCAGTGACAAGGAACTTGCCACCTCTGCCACTCCGGGGCTTCCTTGTTCCCAGTTTCTTGTACTGAAATCACCTATTTCTGTGGCTGCTGCCCCTAAAGCTTTTCAAAGACAGGAGCTATATCCCCAGGGTGCACGTAGCAGGCAACAAGGAAGTGCTGGGTGGACCTTGAAGTAAAGGGCACAACGATCAGTGATCAGTTGTTTTCGCCTGCCTGGAAGGGCTTTTAGTTCCCCGAACCAGGCGTTCCTATGGCACTGTTTACACACAGCCGGAAGACTTGATTCCAGGTGAGGAATATCTTGCCAGTGGTGCAGCCCCGAGGCTGGGAGAGGCCTGCCCCTGAGATGCCAGGAGGGCTTCCTGAAAGGAGGCCTGGGTGAGTCTAAGACTTAGGTGCAGGGCAGGAGGGAGGAGATGCCAGGTAAAGCAATGAGGAAGCTCAGTGGGCAGAGAGGCAGAGCAATTATGGCCGAACCCTGAGACCCCAGGCCAGGGGTGACCGTCTTCCCGGGGACACCGATGTGCTAAGCTAATGGCCTGGGCTTCTCCTCGGTCTCTTCTCGCAGGGAGTCTGGTCCCCATCATATTCCAAACCTAATCCCTCTCACTGTCATTGCTCCCTGAGAGCGCAGTATAATAACCACCACAGAGCTGCTACATTGCATTATCTAGTCTGAGTGACCCAGAGATGACGTAAAGTATGCGAGAGAATAGATAAAGGTTGTAAGCAAATCGTCTGCCATTCTGCATGGACTGAGTGTGCTGGGTTTGGCTATCAGCAGGGACCCAGAAGCCATACCCTACTGACCCTGCAGACAGCTGTACCTGGGTTTCCACCACCCACGCCCCATTCCCAACACTAGAACTAGAAAGCAATGCCACACACTATGTGTAGCTCAGGTTTAGAAGCATGGTGGGGCCAGATTCCAAGCCCCGCCCCCTCCACAGTGTGACTTTACACAAATCCTCTTGTCCTTCCTCACCTGTCAGAGGCGTGTGGTGTGCAAGAGGTGGAAAGTCACCCAGTGCCCTTCTGCCTCCTTCCTTAGTCACAGGACCTTCAGTTTTCAACTCTCACTGGGACACAGACCCAGGGAAGGAAGATCCCATTTCTCAGCAGGAGTTGCCAGGGGCCACGCCATGCCTCAGAGGCTATGAGCCAAGGGTCCCCGCTTGGCAGGACTGTGCTCCTGAGAAGGGGCTGCTTCCTCCTTGTGCCTTCTCTCCCCGTGTCTGGGGTATGGCCACAGTGCTTGATCTTGGACCATGAGACAGAAGTCCCATGGCGAGGGCCACAGAAGGACCCCGGATCCCACCAGCATGAGCTCCTGGACATCCTACCCTGTTCTGTGTACATGAGAGAAATAAATGCCTACTTTATGTAAGCAACTGTTCCTTAGGTGTCCTGCCACTCAAGCTGAACCTACTCCTAAGCACGATAGCAATACCTATCTTAGATGGTTGCTACAAAATAAAATTAAACAAGATCATAGCAGGACAGCAGCCATGATTACACCAGTCATAAACATCTGGCTGCTGTCTAGCAGCTTCTCTTCAGTCTCTGCTAAAGCATTCTGGCCAGGACACAAAACAAGGGTCAGCTAATTGGCACTTCCAGCATCTTCCTGGCTCCAATGCCTGGCACCAGCTACTTCTGTCTTCCTTTATCTCCTGTCAGAGGGGCCAGCTGGCGACAACACCCAAGCCCTGCCCCTGCAAGCCATGACCTCACCCTGCCCTGGCGTGCAGACCCAATTGTGGCCCATTTTAATCACATCTTCAGTTCATCAAAGAACACCAGGCCTCCTCCCCCAGAGACTGGAAGTCTGTTCAGAGGAGCAGGGAGAAATGCACCTCTCCCTGGTGGCAGGCAGGAGAGGAGAAGGAGCAGCAGCCAGATGTCCAAAGCCTGCTATTGTGTCTGCTCCCCAGCAGCTGCCCAAGGAGGAGGGCAGGGGCATTCCTACCACCCAAGTGAACAAGGAGAAGAGAGTCTAACTATGAAGTGCAAGATTGTTCAGCAGGCCCTGATCTCTCCAGCTCTGGGCTGGGTGCCCGGGAGGAGGTACGGAGGCGCCTGGAGG